GCAAGGAAACACCATGTTGCACATGCGTAAGTGATTGCTAGTATGATAACCATCTTGTATAGCCGAACTTTGTTAACCAAACTTAATTTTGGGGTTCTACATACATAGCAAAGGGTAGAGTTGCCGAAACGTAATTTGGAATGCAGTTTTTAACGCTTCAGTGTGATTCTGCCCCTGTATAGAGTGATTTCGAGATACTTAGCAGAATTTCCCCATGGTATGCGAGCTCCATTCACTGAAACCTCAGGCGGGGCGCCGATACGTTTTTTAGTACAATAGATAGTCTACGTTTTCGAGTAATTAATTTTGAGTAGCCACCGATCTGCCCATTCCAATACATCATCCACCGCACTTTGTAACCTGTCGTGAACCAGATTCCCGGTACGCGACTGGGCCACAAGTGCAGTGTCATCAGCATACAGGGTGTTTCAGTTTATTGTTGCATAACTTTAAGATTCGATAGAACTTTTAAAATCAATGCATAAAGTCTATATAAACATGGGTCGAAAAATGCGTGGCTTCCGAAATACAGGGTGTTTAAATTTACTTTCTAAAATAGTTTTGTTTAAATGTTTCGAACAATATTTGATGTATAATAGTGAAAATTGGTATACAAGGGTTTTTTGGTACGACAAAACGAACCGTGGGCATAGTTTTACTGTCGCCGATAGAGGGCACTCTCTATTTTACCTGTAGTGTATTAAAATGACCGAACATTTTTTCATAGTGCAATTTTTTGCTTTTTGAATAAAAAAACTGATTCTTAGCACTTTTCAACATAAAAAAGCTCTCTTGTGAATTTTTGTTATAGTTAGCCGTTTTTGAGATATTTCGATTTTTAAGGTTCGATGCATTTTTAATTATTTATGACAAAATAACGTTAAAAAGTCAGTATCTCGATAATTTCTAGAAGTAGGCTGTGCCTGCAAATATTTTTGAAATTGAAAGCAGAATAAGGTTAAACGTCAATTAGTTGACAGTTAGTTTTGTTGTCTGTTGAAACCTGAAACACCTGCAAGGTTAAATGCTGCGACCTCCTTGGAATTTTTAAAGGCTGAACATGCAAATATGTGGGATGATGTTATGTTAGATTTAAGAAGATTGGCCTGCTTCCAGCTTGATGGTTGTCCAGCTCATTATTCGAGAATAGTTAGAAACTGGCTGGACGAAACTTATCCAGAAAGATGGATCGGCCGTGGAGGACCAGTCGCCTGGCCTCCACGATCCCCTGACCCATCCATTAGATTTCTTTGTGTGGGGATTTCTAAAAGAAAAAGTGTACCAGACTCCCGTAACCACAAGAGATATGCTCATAGACAGAATCAGGAATGCATGTGATGAAATAAGGCCTTATTTGAATAATGCTATACCACGTTCGATCATTCGTAGATGTGAATTGTGTATTGAACAATTGGGTTTGCATTTCGAGCAACTACTTTAGATTTTTTACGTTTGTCCTAACTATCCAATAGCATTTTAGTTGTAAATAATTAATTTAATTTGTTAAAAACAATATTGGAAAATTAAACAAATTAATATTCTGTTTTTTTTGTGTTTATTTGGAGTTAGGAATTATTGCTGTGTTTAAAAACACAATCTAAACGATCATCTTAATTACTTGTAATGCCCAAATCGAAAATGTAAAAAAAAAATTATTTTCCCATAAATAATTAAAAATGCATCGAACCTTAAAAATCGACATATCTTAAAAACGGCTAACTATAACGAAAACTCACAGGAGAGCTTTTTTAGGCAGAAAAGTGCGAAGAATCAGTTTTTCTATTCAAAAAGCAAAAAGTTGCACTAAAAAAAAATTTTCGGTCATTTTAATACACTACAGGTACAGTAGAGAGCGCCCTCTAGCGGCTACAGTAAAACTATATATATATCGTACCAAAAAACCCTCGTATACCAATTTTCAGTGTTATACATCAAATATTGTTCGAAATATATAAAGAAAACTATTTTAGAAAGTAAATTTAATTGGAAGCCACGCATTTTTCGACCCATGTTTATATAGACTTTATGCATTAATTTTAAAAGTTCTATCGAATCTTAAAGTTATGCAACAATAATCTGAAACACCCTGTATAGATAGACTGCACAGTCGCTAGGGCAAGGGACATAATGCGTGAAGAGTGAGTAAAGGATTGGCCCTAGAACCGAACCCTGAGGGCCGGCGCCGGCTCTGATGGGCCGTACTCTCGACAAGAAATTATTAATTTCGATCCGAAATTTCCTACCTTCAAAAAAGGATGTCAAAAGTTTTAGGAGCTAAAATGGAAAGCCCTTTTGAATTAGTTTATAGAGGAGGCTCTTGGCCCTGGCCTTCGAGACATCCAGAAGCAACATGCCAGTACTTTCGTTAAGGGTGGAGCCCCTGGTTACTCGCTCCACAAGCCTAACCGCCTGTAACTCCGTACTATGCTCAGACCGAAATCCAAATTGCACGTCAGGAATCACATGGTGATCTGACGAGAAATTCGCAAGGTGACGTAGAATCACCTTTTCAGCGAGCTTAGACGGAGCAGAGAGTAGGCTGATGGAACGATAGTCCTGGAGAAATATCGAACCCGCCTTCTTCGGAATCATTATAACTACCGCAGTCTTCCACGCCGATGGAAAGTACTGGGTCCTTAGCAGGGCTTTGATAATAGCCACCAGTTGAGTCAAGAACTTCCGCGAAAGGCTTATTAGTCATTTGATCCTTCCCAGGCGCTTTACGCACCTCGATGTCTTTAATATGACCTTGAAGCTCTGCTGGTGAGCCATGCGGGATCTCGGGAGAAGCCGCTGATGTGCTGTGCAACTCTTCAGCTGAAGGAAGAATCACTAATGGCGGCGCCGGGATCACTGACGCCGTTGGCCCAAAAATATCTCCTGGCGGATCTTACAATTTGTCGAGATCATTGTCAAGGTCATAGTTGGGAGAGAACTGTCGTTCCATAGCATCAGCGAAAACGTCGACCTTGTCCTCTGTCCTGAAGACTATGCCCCCGAGGACAGTGGATGTGCGGGAGTTGTTCTCGCTTTCCGTTTCTGAGCGACCTCGCCACTTTCGAGAGAGGCGTTCTTGAGTCAAGCATCCCCGCCAGAAAGTCGTTCCATTGCTCATTGCGGAATTCATGGTGAGCGTTTCTTACTTACTTACCAATATACCCAAAATCTACAACATTTTGCCTGAGGATGATAAATAAATTAAAATTGTTTATTTCAGAGTGTAGGTTTGTTGTGACAAACCTTGACAGGTCGATAGCTCTATGTTACCTAAACATGCTGTTTTGATGGTTTCTTCTTTTTTTAGGAATTTGAATTATGAATCGGTTGATTTTTATCATTGTTTAAGTGGGTACAAAGGGATACGGCATGACGTTGTAATTTGACCTTGAGGTGTCACTGAAGGTCAAATACGAGGATCGTTCAAGATCGTGTTTGAAAGTAAAATTTTCGACTCGTTTTATTGCCGAAATCAGAAGTAGCAGTTTATATTTGAAATTTTAAAGTTGACCTTCAAATAACATTCAAGGTCTAAATCAAGATCGAAGCCAAGGTCACCGACCGATAGTTGAGAATTCTACAACTTTTATTTGAAGCATTTGCCACACCCTGTATGACCAATACAGTGCTTATGTTTCCGTTCTACATCAATGCTTCTGCTTCCTTTTATTAAAATTAAAGGATATATACTAAGTGACATATAAATCCGAACACCCAGTTTAAATGGTTTTATTTTAATAAAATTTTGTATAAGTACTTAATGAAGCATAATAAGTAAATGATAAAAATTTCAAAATGATTGCACTGCTTTAAAGCCCTTTGACCTTTAATAATGTGTGGATGCACCCTGATGTGCTACGCATTCTCCAACGCGCCTAGGCATGCTTCTGATCAGGTGGTCAATGTCCTCCTGTGGTATCTCATTCCAGGCAACCACCAACTCCTCTCGAAGTGCTTCTAGAGTCTGAGGAGGACGTTGCAAATTGAGCAATCTCCTACCCATCATCTCCCACACGTGCTCAATTGGGGATAAGTCGGGAGACCTTGGTGGCCATGGTAACAATGTGACTCTTGCAACATGTGGTCGGGCATTATCTTGTTGGAAAGTTGGATCTGCCAGGGTGTCAAGATAGGGTAAAAGATGGGGTTCTTGAACTTCGTGGATATAACGCTGCGCGTTCATGTTACCTCTGATTAAGATTAAAGGTGACCTGGAACCATAAGGTATAGCACCCCAAACCATAACTCCAACAGTGTGATGAACATGTCTTTCAACAAAAAACTGTGGATTCCTCCTTTCACCACGTCGCCTTCTAACCCTGGCACGACCATCGTGCATGCCTAAACAAAATCGAGACTCGTCACTAAAGACAATACTGTTCCATTCCTGATCCCAGAGTGATCGTTGTCTGCACCACTCAAGGCGATTACGTCGGTGTTCTCGAGTTAAAGGGAGGACCCAGTGTGGCCGGTATGAAAACAAGCCAAAACTTCTCATTCGTCGGTAAACACTTCGCATGCCAATAGGTCTTCCGTGTTCTGCAAACCATTCATTTGCAATGGACCTGGTAGTGGAGAAACGGTCCCTTAAGGCCAATAATCTTAGGCGGCGATCTTCACGGTCTGTTGTTCTACGGCGGCGTCCAGTGCCCCTTGCTCTTTGCGTACGGCCTTCTCGAAGCCATGCCTGACAACACCTAACCACAGTGTCTACACTTCTTTGCACTCTAACTGCAATTGCCCGAAAAGAAAGTCCAGCTTCCGGAAGTCCCACTATACGGCCCCTATCAAACTCACCAAGTTGACGAAATCGTACAGGTCTCCGTACTCTAGGCATCGTAACCGATCGTAAAGGATGTCAAGAACCAAAATCCGCCAACTGCGGCTGAAATATTCATTTTTAGAGCGTTAGTGAATTAAAAAAAAGCAGTATAAAAACCGGAATGTCCAACTGATGAGGCTGAACATTTTTTTACTTGTTATTAAAATAAAACCATTTAAACTGGGTGTTTGGATTTATATGTCACTTAGTATTACATATAATTTTCAAATAATTATTTGACTTGGATTTAATTTGTTTTATTTATTTATTATTCACTATTATGTTACATTACCCATCATCTAATATTGGTGCGTACAGATATTTAGTTATCTAGGCACCACATAGGAAAAACTGCATATATTTTTTATTTAGTGAATTTGTATTTATTGCCACGATTTTGTAATATATTGTATATATTGAATATTTTCACACGTTTTTTATCTTGGGCACCCTGTATGCACCATCAAAAGGTGTAAAATAAATTGTACATTAAAAAATTAAACATACTCATTTACAACTCATCTTTCTTAGTAGTAAGCTTATCATTTTCTACAAGTTCTAAGCTGTCCCAGAATTTCTTTATATGAAAGTCTGTTTCTACACGTTTCTGAATATCATCTGCACCATTGATATCGTAATACACGAACTCCTTTCTCACTGGTTCCCATTTAGCGCCATTGATGCTAGGTACTCTGAAACAAACGTAATTGTAAGTATATTTTGACATTTATTTTGTAATACCGTTATAGTACAGATCGGCTTAATTATATTGCTGTATGAATTTTAATTACATAAAATTTATTTCGATTTTTCTTTTACGTAAGCGTATATGAATTCACAAATTTATTTTACCCTTTGCTAGCGTACGCATAGAGGATATCCATACACACATCTTTCAGTTTTACTTCTTGCTCTGAAAGTGGTATGAATATGATTCCTCCCAGGAAGTAGATCAAATCATCACCATGACATGCGCCTGAAAAAAAAATGATATCACAAACATTTTCTTTAATAAAGACCACACACACAATTTTGCGGTGTTGTGAGTTGCGTAGGGGAGACAGGACAGCAGTGATGTAAGAGGCAGGATGCGTGGTCGGAAAGAGGTCCAGCAGGGGGAAAACTTTGAATTTAAGTTTGTTAAAGAGTGAGGTTAAGATTCAGTACTGACGATCGATCCGCGCGGCCTACTATGTTTCTATATACAAAACTTAAATGACATCCCTCGTATGTTCTAAATTTTATGATTCAATGGAAAATAGAGGTGAATTTTTAAATTGACATTGTATCGGCGTAAGAACAAACAGAAAAATTGGCAACCAAATCGAAAATAATGATTTACGTGTAGTACTTATACTTTAACAATGCTGATGTATCCGAAATGCAGGACAAGTGTTTCATATGGTAGAAGACCGTGAAGCCTGCGCTATGGTGATCGCCAACGTCGGATGATTCTGATATGGCACATGAAAAATAACGTAAATGACTGATTATGTTTACATATACATTATGCTACCGCTAAACACCCTGAGCTATACTAAGTGACATATAAATCCGAACACCCAGTTTAAATCGTTTTATTTTAATAAAATTTTGTATAAGTACTTAATGAAGCATAATAAGTAAATGATAAAAATTTCAAAATGATTGCACTGCTTTAAAGCCCTTTGACCTTTAATAATGTGTGGATGCATGCTTCTGATCAGGTGGTCAATGTCCTCCTGTGGTATCTCATTCCAGGCAACCACCAACTCCTCTCGAAGTGCTTCTAGAGTCTGAGGAGGACGTTGCAAATTGAGCAATCTCCTACCCATCATATCCCACACGTGCTCAATTGGGGATAAGTCGGGAGATCTTGGTGGCCATGGTAACAATGTGACATCATTATGTTGAAAGAAGTCTATTGTGACTCTTGCAACATGTGGTCGGGCATTATCTTGTTGGAAAGTTGGATCTGCCCGGGTGTCAAGATAGGGTAAAAGATGGGGTTCTAGAGCTTCGTGGATATAACGCTACGCGTTCATGTTACCTCTGATGAAGATTAAAGGTGACCTGGAACCATAAGCTATAGCACCCCAAACCATAACTCCAACAGTGTGATGAACATGTCTTTCAACAAAAAACTGTGGATTCCTCCTTTCACCACGTCGCCTTCTAACCCTGGCACGACCATCGTGTATGCCTAAATAAAATCGAGACTCGTCACTAAAGACAATACTGTTCCATTCCTGATCCAAGAGTGACCGTTGTCTGCACCACTCAAGGCGATTACGTCGGTGTTCTCGAATTAAAGGGAGGACCCAGTGTGGCCGGTATGAAAACAAGCCAAAACTTCTCATTCGTCGGTAAACACTTCGCATGCCAATAGGTCTTCCGTGTTCTGCAAACCATTCATTTGCAATGGACCTGGTAGTGGAGAAACGGTCCCTTAAGGCCAATAATCTTAGGCGGCGATCTTCACGGTCTGTTGTTCTACGGCGGCGTCCAGTGCCCCTTGCTCTTTGCGTACGGCCTTCTCGAAGCCATGCCTGACAACACCTAACCACAGTGTCTACACTTCTTTGCACTCTAACAGCAATTGCCCGAAAAGAAAGTCCAGCTTCTCGAAGTCCCACTATCAAACTCACTAAGTTGACGAAATCGTACAGGTCTCCGTACTCTAGGCATCGTAACCGATCGTAAAGGATGTCAAGAACCAAAATCCGCCAACGTTGATTCTTTACTGCGGCTGAAATATTCTTTTTTAGAGCGTTAGTGAATTAAAAAAAAGCAGTATAAAAACCGGAATGTCCAACTGATAAGGCTGAAATTTTTTTCACTTGTTATTTACAGTAAGATAAATACATTCACCAACTTTTATTAAAATAAAACCATTTAAACTGGGTGATCGGATTTATATGTCAGTATATTTATCACTCAAGAATCACCCACAAAAATATATTCATATTGCGTTTTTTAAATACAAAACCAGTCGTTTACAAGTAAACCTACTATGGTGTTGAACCTTATTTTTCTGTATAAAATGTGACGCATATAGCAGATATTCCTTTGAGGTGTCGGCCGCTCTGGTTTTTATGAGTTTTCAACTAGAATTGAAAATACTATAACAGCGAACGCTTCAACTGCACGACCTGCTTCATCGCTCTTGTTTGAACCCAATCCATGCTCATCACACTGGACAACAAATTTTAGTTTTTTAATTGTATCTTGTGGGAAAAGTGTACATCTTTGTTAATTTTGGGGCGCTGAATCCAAAAATGACAATGAAATAAAAAAATTAGTTGCGGTTTAGAAAAAAAACTTTTTATTTTTAAGGATATATTAATAAAAGTAACAAGATTCATATACTTATAAGAATCACTATATGCGCTGTCTTTTTGCTGTTCTTCTATGGATCTCTACCAAGAGTCCAACAGTAGTCTGCAAGCATGGAAGGATTCCACTTTCCCTGGTACCTTCTTTCCATTGTTGAAATATCCTGATGAAAACGTTCGCCGAGCTCGTCACTTACGGCTCCGCAATTCTCAGGAAAAAAGTCCAGGTGTGAGTGTAGGAAATGTATCTTAAGAGACATATTACAGCCCATCTTTTGATACGATGACAGCATATTTTTGACAAGGGTTTTATAGTTGTCAGCTTTTCTATTTCCCAAGAAATTAGTGACCACCAGACGGAAATCATTCCAAGCAGTTTTTTCGATACCTGTTAAAGTGTTTTCAAACTGTGTATCTTTCAAAATATTTCGAATCTGTGGCCCAACAAAAATACCTTCTTTAACCTTTGCCTCACTTAACTTAACTTGATATGCAGTGGTGGTAATAAAATTTTTTTCGAATCTACTAATGGCATATGCTGTACATTTTTTTGACCTGGCTCTAGGAATTGACGAACAGGCCAGTGTTGTCTGGTGCAATGAAGTGCCTTTGCCCGACTGTCCCATTCACACAAAAAACAGCAAAACTTTGTGTAGCCTAGCTGCAGCCCAAGTAAAAGTGCAACAACTTTCAAATCGCCACAAATATGCCATTGGTGCTCATCGTATTTTATGCATGTCAATAGGTACTTCATATTGTCATATGATTCTTTCATGTGAACTGCATACCCTACAGGAAGAGATGGTAAAATATTTCCAATATGCAATAACATTGCCTTTAAACTTAATGTTGAACTGTCTATAAACAATCTCCGTTCTTCTGGGTTATAGTTTATATTTAAAGCCGCCAGTAAGCCGTTAGTGTTACTGCAGAAAACCAAGTTATTCTCCATATTGAAAACTGGTTCTAAGTCTTTGTGGCGTTTATGAAAAACACATACCGAAACATCGTCTTCTAACAAGTTCCACTGCTGCAGTCTTGATCCAAGTAACTCTGCCTTACATTTTGGAAGTTCTAAATCTCTTACAAGATCATTTAATTCTGACTGTGTTATTTTGTGCGGTTGGTGGCATGACGTGCTCGGTATAAAATCAGGATCTCTTGACGTTGATGGCATATCTTCTTCCTGACGAATCACTCGATCGCCATGATCTGATTCGTTTTCTGATTCGCAAGTGTAGGATTCTGGGGGTTTTGGAATAGGATTTTCGTCACTGTGAGGCACAGGTCTCATCGCAGATGGTATGTTTGGGTAGTTAATAACCGATTTTTTTTTCTTGGACATACCTGTGGCTTGTCCAACACAAGGTACCATGCAAAAGTAACAATCATTAATATGATTTGTAGCCTCTCTCCAAACCATTGGGACAGCAAAGCGCATAGACCGTTTTTTGCCATTTAACCAGCTCCTCAGACTTGAAGCACATGAATTACAGCAGATGTGGGGTGCCCACTGTTTGTCTTGATCACCTAGTTTAGAACCGAAATAAAGCTGATATGCCTTTGTTATTAGTGGAGTAATAGACCGTCTCTGAGACGCAAAAGTCACATCACCACACACGTAACAAAACTGATCTGGATTGTTTACACACTTTCGAGACATCTTGCATGAACGCTGTCAGCCAACTGAGGAAAAAATGGCTAATATAAAACAATATAATGTACACGTATGTATAACGTAACACAATCATGCCGATTACATCATCTTTCCTTGCCGAATATAAAAATGTAGCACGTGCATTCTTGTGAATTACAGTATATTAACACTGTCACAGCAGGAACACATATAATTACCGTATCTCTAAGACTTGAACTAATATTGAAAAAATAAGTTTCATTCCGGTTTTAGCACATTAAAAATAGTAATATTTTGTTGATTTTATTTAGGATATTTTTTGGCTGTTGATCAGTGTTATGGGCATTGAAATCACCAAGGAAAACTACCTGTGTATTGATGTTCAGGAAGTCGATCTTAACAGCGAGTTATTTAAGTAGGTCATCCCATTTATGATACGAGGGACAGCGATAAAGGCAGCAAATAAATTTTGGGGATGAAGGCCAAAACTCCCTAGTTTGTTCTCAGATTGAAGTGCACCTCGCAATTTGGGAAGCTAAGATGATTAATCGATGCAGACTCTGAGATTTTTGTCTGAGGCGGGACGATTGGATTGCAGGTGGTGATGAACAGCATCAATGTTGCTGTTAATCCCGCAGATGTTCCTGAAACAATGTTTTTCATCGAGTCCACCCTCCACCCGGACTTTCCGAGAGTGGACTGAGCTTACGTCCGGAATTTCGGGACTTGCGTTAGTTTTTGAAACTAGCAATAATCTTACCTTTATCTTCCTGCGGTAGCATTAGCAATGCTTTTAAACTGTTTGAACCTTCATAATTGAAACGATACACGTAGATCGGCGACTTGGTTACTTTGGACTGCAATTCCACGGAAGTTTGCATAGGTACAAAAAATGTTCTGTCAGTTGCAATCTAAAAAGAATTCTTGGTGAAGCTCTACTCGGGAAATGGAAACGAACAGAGCAGCAAAACACATCCCATGCCCGACAAAGTATTTTTAGTATCGAACGCCTTAATGACCTCATTGATTTTCATAGCTTTGAAATCCAATTAATGAAACTCTCGGTAGTTTAGTAGCTTTCTGAAGCTTCAATACTATTTACGGCTTGTCAAGTGTAGGAAGAGATGCGAATTTTTGAATAATGCCACGTCTTTTCGGTGCGGCTCAATTCGTAGTCTCTTGTCGTGTCTAGAGTAGTTAGCGTACAGTCAGGAGTGAAGTTGTGATATAGATTCGTTAATTGTAACGTATATTATGTACTATCAAAACCAATTATATAATGCAGATAAACGCAAGCCATTGAACAAATTATCTCCAAGAGTTATCGAGCCACATGAAATAGTACAGGCGATAGATAGCTTGAGATCGGGTGCTTGTGGAATTGATGACTAACGCTGGCAATGATAGAACTCTCGTAACGTTAACGAAGTTACCAAATTTAGAATATTGGGCTCGCAAAAAGATATTTAAAAATTTGACACATGCCAACCAATTTCGATTAAAAAAAGCAGGCTTCACGTAATACGTATTCCATTATTCAAATTATTCGATTCATTTAGGACGCGGACTGCACCACTCGAGATCGAATGGCACGGTACGTATTGCACGTGCCATCTCTTTTGCCCCGAATGCGTTCTCCCTCTCTCGCGTGCGCAATCCCAGCAAATCCTCATATCTCTTCCTACGCTTGACGAGCTGTACAACCTCATCAGAAGTATCAGCTATCATCTGTCATCTCTCTGTAACTATGTGTTTTTGTGCGATGTGTTTTGCGACTATCTTCCTTTTCGGTTCCCGCGCAAAGATTACAGGAATACATAAATTAATTTTTGCTACCAAAGCTTCCTATCGAAGATTCTACGTTACGCCTAAGGTGTCTAAGGGCCGTATATCGTCAATCGTTTCTACAATTGTAGGACGCCTTTATGGCCTCTTTGATTTTCATAGTCTTTTCCCTCCTCCAGAAAGGCTGAGGTATTTATAGATTTCTACTGTTATGCTTCCTTTTTGAATTGTAGGAAAATCCAGGCTGATAAAACAAATGATGTAAATCAAAAGCATGAACAATTTGATGGAAATGAATATTTGTAACATAACCTCAAAATAGAGCGCTGGAACAGTATACAACTACGAAAATCAATTAGGCCATAAACGATACGATAGCCTAAAGTTTTGTGATGGAAAAGATCAACAAGCTTTCTATGGCAATAATGTGACTATTTAAATGAAGGCTTGCAAAAGGTACCTTTGTCAGCTCTTCAAAATTGAGAGTACCATCATTATCGTTATCGTAATGTCTCTTGACTTTATCAAAAATTTGAGGGGCCGAACGAAAATACTCTAGCAGGTGCTGCCCAGCAATCTCGTTCCATTTTTCGTTCGTTTCATCCATTATGGTGCGTACCACTGAAAAAAAATTGCATGGTTCATTCTTAAGGTAAATTAAGCTAAACAAGAAAAGTTGGAATCATTTTAATTTGAAAATTTTTAAATTTTAGTTTATGATTTCCAACACGACAAAGCTTCTTTTACTACATCTTGAGTTAGACCACACAAAACTTCTTGACCAGGTACCAAGAATCACCAATTACTAATAATATTTATTCGCCACAGTACAAAATTGTTTAAAAACGGGCAAATAAATACGAAAAATTCACATAAGGCATTGCCTGTGTATAACAAATAAAATTAATTCTAAGAATCGTTTCAAAAGGCAAAATCGAATCGTGATTAGGTAGGTTCACTTAGGTTGAATAAACCTTCGACCTCTGCATATCTAACAACATAAAGCAAATTTATCATGTTTCTGTTTCCATGCAGATGTACGGAAATATATGCGACTTATTATATCTAACAAATGCATAGAAAGCACTACAACTAACAATTATCACTCCTATTAGAGTTGGAAGAACGATTATACAATCTTCCTTACACAGCATTGTATGCTGTAAGAACATTGGAAAAACCCTCTTAGAACAGCTATACAAACGGAATGGGCACACCTAATAGGACACTTCAGTCATTTAAGAGGTTGTATAAGGGCTGCAGGTAACAGTTATACAACAAAAGTGTAAGCCTCTTGCAGCCGCTATAGGACATTTGCGTCGATGCAAGATTCAGTTTTTGTCAATTATACAACTATTCGGTTACGTGATTCTACTTTATTGCAACCAAACTATTTCTTATGTATTGTATAGGCGATAACTAACACATTGGGAGAAATTTGTTGGCTAAAGTAGTCAATGTGCACACCAAACAACAAGGTTCGGGTTTGATGTATAAACGTTACCATGGATGCCACAACACAACTAAACTCTGGGCGCTGAAGAAAGACATTAAACGTAAACAGTGATCAGCACGTGAACAGATTCCTCGAAAGCATCCACGGATATACTCCAGTCACTTTAGGTCTAAACATCCTCGGCAGTGTATTTCTAGTGAATCCACAGACCCTTTTTCGTGTCATCTTGAGACTAGAAAAAGGATGACTGTTAAAATAAGTTACCTTGATCTTTCATGAGCTCCCAGTACAAAACATCATCGATATATTTTTGATGTAGGAACAACAAATTGGTTTAGAAAACATCCACTTTGAACCTAAATTGACTGGAGTAACATCGATCTACAGACAAATTCAAGGTCACTAGCAGTCGTCGGCGCTCTACGAATCTGCACAGGTTTGGACTTGTAAACGTGATTGTAGATGACACGACAGGCATCTAACAGTTAATTCACGCACAGGATTGCATTGCATACGCATTACGCATTCAGTAGCGTATACTCGTTTTTCGCGAGTGGAACGTTTTGTTTATATATTGCCTAAGATACGATGTCTGACACAGATACAGCCGACGAAGTGGTTGACATCAGCGCAACCCCACCCAAAAAAAGGGCTAAGAAGCTACATTTAAGTGCAAATGAAAAACAAATAATATTAAATATATACAAAAACCAAATTCAAGAAAAACCCGATTTGGTCGTGGACGAAGTTATATGTAAGGTAGCACATATTTCTGGAGTATGTCGGTCCAGTGTTTATAGGATCATTAAAGAATATAGGAGCACTCACTCACTTTCTGAGCCAAAACCGTATCCTGCAAGAAAAAGGATAACGGACGGAGTAGATGACTTTGACAGAACTGCCATCAGGAGGAAAGTGCATAATTTTTTCTTCCGAAATGAGATACCTACAGTAGATAAGATATTAAGATTAGTTAATGCTGATGAGGATCTTCCATCATTTAAAAGAACCACATTCCGAAAACTTTTGAAGGAACTTAATTTTCGATTCTTGAAACGGGGAAGAAACAGTATGTTAATAGAGAAAGAAGGAATTGTTGTGTGGAGAAGGGAATACCTTAGGAAGATTCGGAAGTTTCGCGATGAAAAAAGAAAAATTTACTATTTGGACGAAACATGGGTGAATGCTGGACATACTCAAGCGAAAGTTTGGGTCGACAAATCAGTAACATCATCAAGGCAGGCTTTTCTAGACGGTCTTTCGGCTGGATTGAAAAATCCTGCAGGTAAGCTCCTTCATCTATCCGGCAATTTAATTTTGATAAATTCGGGCAAATAATATGCTGTGATAGCAGATAATGTGTGATATTCTCCAAAAATGGTGCATTCGCAGTGTAGTCATTAGGAAAAAAACTTCGACCCTCTTTTAAGCGTTATTTTGAAATTTATTATCATTTTTGGGTGCAGTCAATTTGCTTTGAATGGGTATTGAGAAGTTGCAAACTTCAATTTTCTACGTTTTTCAGTTTTTGATTAGCATTCCGTGACTCTTAAATTCAGCTAAATGAACTCAATTGCCTCATTCCTTCAAATTTAATCAATCCATAGTGTAAGGAATAATTTATTTCCAGGAAAAGGCAAACGGCTGATCATTTGTCACGTAGGTAGTGAAGACGGCTTTGTTCCCGAAGCACTGTGGGCCTTTGAATCAAAAAAGACAGAGGACTATCATGAGGAGATGGACGGCAATTCCTTTGAAAATTGGTTCTCCAAAATGTTACTAAAGCTGGAGAATAACGCTGTTATTGTACTGGATAATGCCCCGTACCATTCTAGAAAAATTGAAAAAATTCCCACAATGGTAACTAAAAAAGCAAACATACAACAATGGCTGGCCTCAAAACAGATCGATTTTGATGAAACAATGGTCAAGGGTGAATTGATAAGTATAGTCAATAGACATAAATACAAATACGATTTTAAAATGATCGACGAAATGGCCAAAAAACAAAATAAATCTGTCTTGTGAGCTGAACCCTATTGAGCTGATTTGGGCCAACATAAAGCAATACGTGGCGTCGAATAATAATACTTATACATTTTCTGATGTTAAAAATCTCTTTCACATCTCAGTCAATAGAGTTACGGCAGAGGAATGGAAAAACTGTATCCGCCACGTTCGGGAGAAGGTTGAGGTCAAAATGTGGGATTTGGACAATGTCATCGATACCCAAATTGAACCTCTAATAATTCATTTAAACGATTCAGAAGATTCAAGTTCCTCTTCTGAATGAGTGCGCGCAGCTTACTTACTAATAACTAAAAAGTGTAGTTAACTCATTTGTGAATCTCTAACTGAAATTTACTGTAAAAGATAATAATTATCTTGTATGAAATTTTTGATGACTACCCATAATATCTTGATGCGGTCCTGTAATGTCTCCTGCGCCTAAAAACTCACTCACGAGCAATATGCGTGTATTTGTTTGGGTTTAGTTTCTTTCTTCAGCGCCTAGAGTATATGTTCACTACCGCGCAAATATGCCGTTTAAAATAGTTGTTCAAACGTTTATGCAGCGGTTCAAAATGTGTCCTATAAGGTGTTGTATAACTATGCTTTAAAAATATTTTAAACACCTCATTTTAGAGCTAATATGCTTCATTAAGCCAGCATTTTGGGGATTAGGCAACAACAATACAGGCCTTTTACGGCTGGACAGTTCTTTTACCAAAAGCTTATAGCACTACTTTGCTAGTTGGGCGGCTTTGTGCTTGACCCTCACCATCAACGTAATTTCAAGGTCAACTTCATTTTTTAACGAAAATCTCTATTTTTGATACCGGAGCGGAAATTTTAACGTTCAAATACGAATTATATATGCCTTTGACGGACACATATTTTGGTTGAATAGGGAAATCGGCCAAAAGTGGGCGTTATAGACATAAAACACCTACTTGCGCTGATCACCAACCCATCATCTTTGGTGACCGAACTAATCCAGGGCACGTCATACACTTTTCCTTGTTTGAGAAGATTGTAAGGGTGATCGGCAAGGAAAGGTTTCTTTCCTCTCTTCTCTATGACAGGAGATAAAGGACAGCAAGGAAGTAGTCCGAAAGTATGCAAGCACAGTTTCGTTTTCTCTACTAACAGGGACGCGGGACGAGTTTTCAAGCATTCCACCATCTTTTCGGTTTCCTTTAAATCGCAGCCTACGATTTGAGCCAGGCTTCTGGCTGTCTTCAATGGCTCCTCTTGCAGGGTCCATTTGCCTAGGGCTGTTCCACTGGCCGACCATCCTCTACAAATACAGAAGACTTTTTTATACATTATGATAATATTTATTATCCAACGTACAAAATTGTTTAGGCAAATAAATATGAAAAATCCACAAAAGGTATTGCCTGTGTGTGGATTATATACAGAGTGGCGCATCGAAAACGAAACAGACGCATTTACTAGCAGCTCATTTATTACCTTTGGACAATAGAAAGGTAAACATCTATAGTCAACGCCAAACAAAGTGGCGTGCACGTCATCACGATAAAAATTCCCCGACCTAATGCCTAGGTTTCTATCACAAACAATTGCTCTATTGCAGTTTCATATTAATGTGATATATAAATTGTAAAATGGTCATTACTCTCTTATTATGGTCAATAGTCATATAAACATTGTTATTAAAATATCACATAAGTTGCTTTCTGATAAATTTAGACGCATTATGCGAAATAAAATGTTTTGCAAACGCTCCAATCACTTATCGACATGTAAACGCACTAAACCGATTTCGCAGCGTTGACACATTGTCACCTTGAAACTTATTTAAACTGGGAACTGACATTTGTATTAATTTTGACACTGAATCAATTTGTGGCATTTCAAATCTTTATAAATCCTTTGGCCCCGCATACTGTAAATCAACAACTGTTTGTTTCAAAACAAAATTATTCATTTTACGAGTAGATAAAGGCAATTTTGGTATATAAAGATGCCCAAACAGTTAAATAGTCAGTGTAAGGAACTCGTGGCCTCGTTAATGCACTACTTTGAGCAAGAAAGGGACAACAACGGGCCTTTGTTGCCTTTAAATGCTGATCAAGAGGTAGGTTACTAATAATTATATGTAATGTATATTAATAATAGTGAAATTTTATTTCATTTTTTGTAGCGTGTTGCTGCTGCTTTAAAAATTAGTTTAAGGACAGTTAGTCGTATTTCCGAGGGTGTGAAAAGTGATGCAAATTTAGAATCGCCCAAGAAAAAGCGGAGTTATATTAAACGTGTAACCAACACAGCGACATTGGATACATGTGCCATTCGAGAAGTGATCTATAATATGTATCACAAAAGTAAGATCTTATTATAATAACTTATCAGAAATTTGCATTAATTTGTTAACTAAATTATAATGTCATATTACACATGGTTTCAGAAGAACAAGTTACGATACAAACTTTATGGTCTCGATTAAGAGATAGGGCATTATTTGATGCTAGTGCCACGTCTTTAAGGCGGTTGCTTAGAGATCTTGCATTTAAGTGGCTTAAGGACAATCCGCGACGAGGGCTCATGGAACTACCAAGTATAGCTTTGAAAAGGGTGGAATTTCTAAGGCAATACAATCAAGCCAAGGTTGAGGCCTTATACCAGTTTGTCTTCCTCGATGAAACTTGGATATTTCAAAATGGGACCATAGGTCGCTCTTGGCAAAATGGAAACCAAAAAAGCGTGAAAGCTATTAAAACAGATGGTAAAAGGTATGTACTTTTACACAATTTGCACTATAAAATTTAAAACTAATATATTTTAGATACATTATATTACATGCTGGAAATGAAAATGGGTTTATTGAGGGTAGTGAAGCGATATTTTCTTCGAAAACAAAATTGAGCGATTACCATGGAGAGATGAACCAGGACAATTTTTTGAAATGGTTTCAACATCAGTTATTAGAAAAATTGGAGAGTCCATCTATGATTATACTGGATAACGCCCCTTATCACAGCATGATATTGAACAAAGTGCCCAACAATGCATGGACAAAAAAAATATCCAAGACTGGTGGACAAATCAAAACATACCATTTTTAAACACAATGTTTAAAACAGAGCTATTGAGTATTGTTTTTCGGTACATAATGCTTCTTAATTATATATATTTTGGTCGACAGTTTATATTTCTTTTGTTTATTCCTATTCTTAAAATAACTGATTTTTTAGAAACAAACCACCTAAAATATACGTGATTGATGAATTGGCGGAACAACATGGGCACAAAGTTCTTCGTCTGCCTCCTTACCATTGTATATTTAACCCTATTGAGTTAATTTGGGGCATAGCAAAAGGTTACTATAACAGACATATTGGTAGAGATGGTAACAGTGAAAAAGACTGTTTGGATATGTGGAACGAGGCTCTACAAACGGTTACCCCAGACATGTGGAAAAATAGTGTTCGACATACTGAGCAAGAAATTTTTAAATGGTATGAAAGAGAACGAATTTTCGATCGACCAGACATCGAACCTTTAATAATCAACTTTGAGAGTGATGAAGATTCAGATTCAGACAGCGCTGAAGAAAGAAACTCCGACTAACTTTATTGTACAGAAAAAGCTTACACCAGTAGCTTACCTAATTTTAGAATGCATTTTTCTGTATGAATTCTGTAAAATAAATACCATGCATAAAATTTGGAGGACCCCATTTGGATTTTTATTCAGTACCTTTAAGCTATCAATTAAATATGGTAGTTTCATAGTGTCATCTGATCAATAATTGTCATACTTAATGATTACCTATGCAAGTACAGATCTATAATTTTATTATACTATTATTTTTGTTCTCATTTGAGGTTAATATTGCTTATAAACCTAGATATGTAAATAATAAATTTTATTATTTTACAAAAAGTTTGGCAACAATGTAAATTTTTCAACACACCCACCTTGATGACGTGCACGCCACTTTGTTTGGCGTTGACTATACGTATATTTATCCGATTTTAATACTTTTTGGCATTTATGTTCGGTGTCCCTCACTAGTACAATGATTAAATTTTCAGCTCGATTCGTCATCTGACTGAAGAAGCTGAATGCTTCTTTTTCACCACACAAGCAGCCACTACAAAAACTTAACAGGTGTTTACCTTATTTGTCACTCAGTCTAATTATGTATAGTCATTCTCTGTACAGTGCAAGCCCAGTCGTTTAGTTTTCGTCTAAAGTTTATCCAAGAGAGAGTGAAAACCCATTTTATATCAACAGATTCTCAGCGCGCGCTCTAATTTGTTGTCCTGCAAGTTATATCTTGGGGACCAGATGGAGCAGCAACACTCAAGTAACGAACGAACCAAAGAACAATACACAGTTCCAAAAGAAAAAAGTGACAGATCAATACAATGGCAATTTGTAAAGCTGACTTTATGCACAGTTGATAGTTTTTTCAATATGTGCGTTGAAGGAGAATTTTGAGTCAAAAATTACTTCCAAATTCTTGCTATGGTCTGTAGTTTGTAAAGATCTCCCGTTGATGCTATAAGAATGAGTAATAGGAGAACGACATCGGCGTAATATGTATCAAACGCCAACAAAATGAACTAGAAGTCGGTCTTTCTGGACGCTGGCCAAGCAGATTGAAAAGAACTTCTCACACAGTAGCCTTCCACCAATTACGTGTCAGGATGGAACTATTGTAATCGACTCAAAGGCCAAGGCGGAAGTGCCAGCCACGATCTTTGCTGCCAACTCCACCATGGACGTCCCCACCAACGCCCAAGTGCCGTCAATTCAAAGGGTTCCCCACACTATGCGGGAGGTAACATTCAGGTAAGACGAGTGCTCTTGTCGCTTGACATCAACAAAGCTTCTGGTCCGGACTTGATTCCTGCCATTGTACTAAAGAGATGTGCAGCGGAGCTTGCTCCAGTTCTTTCGCGTCTCTTCCAGATATCTTATGAATCCGGCACCTTCCCAGAAAACTGGAAATTTGCTCATGTACAGCCCATCCCAAAAAAAGGATCTAAGACCGACCCTTACAACTACAGGCCTATAGCTCTGCTTTCTGTTATAAGTAAAGTGATGGAGAGGTGCATAAATCGCGAGCTTCTGAACTACCTCGAACGTCACAGCTTGATTAGCGACAGGCAGTACGGTTTCCGGCACCAACGATCCACAGGGGACCTCCTAGCTTACGTCACGCAACCGTGGAGCAAACTCATCCAGTCTCATGGTGAGGCTCATGTCGTTGCTCTTGACATCACGAAAGCGTTCGATCAGCTGTGGCACGCTGCCCTCTTGAGCAAACTTCCATCCTACGGCCTCCCAGAAAAGCTTTGCAGATGGGTGTCTGACTTTATCTCTGGCCGCAAGATATCCGTCGTAATTGACGGATTCTCCTCTTCATCCCACAACGTCAACGCGGGTGTTCCCCAGGGATCGGTCTTGGCTCCAACACTGTTTCTCTTACATATCAACGACCTCCTTTCCTGCACGATCAACCCAATCCACAGCTTCGCTGATGACATCACTCTACATGCAGGAATTCAGAGTGACAAGCCGATCTCTGCCACTGAGCTGGAAAAAAGAAGACTAGCGACGACTTCTTCTCTGACAAGAGACCTGGAGGCTATCACTGCTTGGGGACGCAACAATCTTGTACAGTTCAATGCTTCCAAAACACAGTACTGTACTTTGACGAACAAAAAGCGTCTTAGCGCTCATACAGTTTCGATGGACGGTCGAGTTCTACCAAAGAGCCATTCATTTCGGCTGGTCGGAGTCCAGATCACCGAGGACCTGATCTGGCACGAACACATCTCTTCAATAGCTGCAGCTGCTGGGAAAAAGCTAGGCTATTTGTTTAGGACTAAGAAGTACTTTTCTCCGCATGACCTTCTCACTCTATACAAGGCCCAGATAAGGCCTAGCCTCGAGTATTGCTCACACATTTGGGGTGCTGCCGCCCCGACTACATTGTCCATGCTCGATGCTGTCCAGAGGAGGGCGGTCCGACTGATCGATGACTCTTCTCTAACAGACAGTCTCGGGACTCTTTCGCACCGGCGGGTCGTCGGCGATCTAGCTCTTTTCTATCGCTACACCAACGGGCTTTGCTCCTCAGAGCTCTCTTCCATGATACCGCCGCGCGATGTGCCTGCCAGACATACCCGCCTGACTTCGGCGTCCCATCCTAACCGTGTCAAACTTCGTACATCCAGAACTGGCCGATATGACCGCTCCTTTGTCCCGAGGGTGTCTAGATTGTGGAACAATCTACGGGAGGAAGCTTTTCCCAGTTCTACTAACCTGAGGCAGTTCAAAAATCGTATTAACAAAATTTCTTTGGGATCATCATAGCAGCCGCGGTGTTCCGGCATTTAGGCTTCTGCCTGCGCGGCTGTTTCGATATAAAAAAAAAAATAGAAAGTAACAATGACCAAACGGATGTCGCAAAACATACATAATACGAAGTAACGAAGCAAAAATTTAGGCTAAGAAAGAAATTGTCGAACTTAAAAGTCAGCATGAGCTTACTCTACAAACATGTAACGTAAGCTTGGGAGTTGCAGACCTCTGCTGACAGAAACTATACTACCTATTGCGTGTTCCAAGTATTTCAGAAGCTAACCGTTGATACATTTTCATTCACCTTGATAACGTTTATTTTCGTAATCTTTAGTGTACGTCCAAGTTACCAACCTGTGGAACAAGCCTTTACTGTAGGGTGAAAGGTAGTGGAAATGTACCGAAGCAGCTCCAGCGGAAAATCCCGTTAACGTTACAGACTTTGGATTGCCTCCAAATGCCTCTATGTTGTCCTGGATCCATTTTAGAGCCAGCGCTTGATCCTTTAATCCATTATTTCCTGGCACTACTTCATCGTCAGTGCTAAGAAATCCTATAAAAGTATGGTATTTATAGATAAATATAAAAATATACACTCAGAAAATTTTTTTAGTATTTGTATTAAAAGTGATTTTTCCTTACCAAGTGCGCCTAATCTATAGTTGAAACTCACAATAACCAGGTCTCTATCCATCACATATTTGTCACCAATGAATTCTTGTGCAGATCCAATCATAAAAGCACCTCCATGGATATGAGCCACCACATCCAACAATTTTTCATTTTCGGATTTTGGTACGTAGACGTTGATATACAAGCAGTCTTCATCTCCTGTTAGAAATATTGATAAGATTTAATAAGTTTGTACGGTTGCAATTTATAAACTCAAAACAGTAATTAATTTTCCTGAGCTATTGAAACATAAACTCTAACCAAAGAATACAGAGCTGCCAGTAGAAGAAGCACTACTTGGTAAAAACAGATTTTGTCTGCGGTATTAGCCCAGGAAGTATCTTCCCATCTGCAGGGAAAAATATTCTGATTAAGTTATTTGCACGACCTTATTAAAAAAGACAAATAATTTGTGGCGCAATTTTAGGTGTGGTAACATGCAGATTCATTTAACGAGGCCTTTTTTGAACGAAATTCTGCGAAAAAGAATCAAAATATTTTTCTAAGCAGATGCGAAGATACTTCCTGTACTATAACTACCCAGGTAGTCGATGGCCCACCCGCTAATGATTTTATTTCAGCATATTTGCAATGAGGAGCTCATGTAGAGAAAGGAGATCCAGCCAAAATAGATCTATGATTCATGAATGAAAAACGCCATAGCATAGAAATGTGATGATTGATTATAATTTCCAAAACAGCCCATGATCAATTTGGAGGCTTGCTGGTGCCTTTTTGGACCAATCGTTGAATATGTTACGGAATTGGAGGACATACAGTGAAATCCGTTTTGGAGAGACATCAACGAGACCGACTGAAAGTGTCAGTTCAAGAAGGGTGTTGTTGAAAAAGTAACTATTCGTTACTCGAGTACTCGTTACTCGTAGATACCCGAAGTAACGAGTACCAATCCGAACACGTAATGATTACTTTCATTACTCTGTTTTCAGTATCCGTAACCGGTATCCGTACAATCGTTGATCTTTGAGCGGCAACGCTGGTTTCACTGCTCATGCATAAGCGTTGCCAGACATGCCACATTCGGGTGGAAACTTTCAAACTCCCGATTTGAAAACAATTACCAAATTCTAGGTCCGCCAAATCAAAAAAAAAAATAAGTTTACCTATTCACATCGTGACTCAAATTCGCTCGCAGGAAAACCACAATAATAAAAATTATGTCAATTTGACTCGTGTTTACTTGTATAAAAACTTTATCTGAAGTCACTTGAAATAGCATAAAAAGCTTTGGTCGGGTCCTTTGTAATTTCATGACGTATCATAGGCGTGCGGTCATTTATTTAGAACGATAATAATATTGTTTTTATATCACAATAAATGGATTTTACTATCTTCTTATTTTTTTGATTTGGGATAAAAAATACTTATATTGGGAGTTTAATTTATGTTGACTGAAAGTTGAGAAATGGAAAAATTACAGAATTCCAACGTTTGACACAGGCAAATATTTACATAGCAGGTAGGTATATAAAAAGGTATATAAAGACTTACATTATAGGTATTTATATATCATCCTCGCCTTCGGAGCTGTCGCTAGAGTCATCTTGTAGAGGAATTACAACGGGATTTATAGGAGGCAAAACACAATATTCATTTTCTTTTTCAATAATATGCCTAGAACACTGCTTCCATAGGTCTGTGGCAGCAATATGAGATACTGCATCTCTTATTGTGGCCAATAGCGATTCACTTAATTGAGGGGTCTGATTATGTTTTCTTACTTTTTTTTAAAGCAGCCCAGACCAACTCAATCGGGTTAAAAATGCAGTAATAGGGAGGTAGACGTAATACTTCATGGCAATTTTGCTGAAGCAGATTGTCAACAACATACTCTTTTTCAAATTTTTGTCTTTTAATAAGATCCAATAATATGGCTTTGGTTGATTTTTGTGGTATTTCCATTCCCTTATCCTTCATAAAATCAATAATGTCTTGTTTTTTTGTGCCTGTATTCGGAATTTTGTTTTTCTGTCGGGAATGGTATGGCGCATTGTCCATAATAATCACTGAATTTGGGGAAATGTTTGGTATTAACTGCTGCTCTATCCACTTTTCAAATAAGTCGGAGGTCATGTCCTCATGATAGTCGGCACATGATTCTTTGATATTTTTGGCAGATAACAGCAAGGCATTAGGTATAAATCCATTTTCACTGCCAGCATGGAGAATAATGATTCGTTTTCCACGGTTGCATGGTGCATTTAAAATGCACTTGTTGCTGTCGTCAACCCAGCCGTACTGCACAACATCATGGGTATCATACCATGTTTCATCCAGGTAAATCAGATTTCTTTTCTGCTCTCTATAGATTTTAACTTTGTGCAAAAATTCTTGGCGCAATTCAACGATTCGTGACGACTCCATAATCACCATTCTTTTATCTAATTTTTTGTATTGATAACCACACAGTTTTACAATACAGTGCAGTGAGTCTAAGCATTTGTGATTATAAAAATCTTCAGGATAATCTTTTAATTTATCCCGTATCATTTGCAACGTGGGCACCAAATTTTCTTTATAAAATCCGTATATTATATGACGAATATCTTCCTGAAAATCCACGTCTATTCTTTTTAATTTTCGCCCTATGCGCTTTCTGTGGAAGGAATGGTTGACTACATCTCCCCTTTTTACAACCCGATAAATGGTAGACCGACTGATTTTTGTCAGGATACAAATTCTGTTTAAAATTTGATTTTGCGAGGAATCTGGATTTTCGTTTTTCAGACAATCATACATATTTAGGATTACTCTTTGGGTCTGTTCCTCTAAATCTTTATGAAAGAATTCTGCCTGCACAGGTTCATCAACCATCTCCTCGTGGCTTGGAGCATTTTCCCAAGGTCTCCAAAGAGCCATATTTAGGACACACAAGAACAATCAACACAACAATTAAATCAACAAGTAAACTGAGTATTCAAAAGTCAAAAACACACAAACTAATAAAATCTATGAAAAAACACGGACAGACTAAAGAAAACACGTTTATTCACCGCTACACGGCACTGGCTAAACTGTTTCAATTTTCAGTAGCCACCTGCACTTGTTCGGAGCTCTGAAATACACGCTTTCTCATTGGCTATGTCCACGCATAGGCGTGCTTTACTCCACGTGGACCGGTGAAACTGCCTTTGAGCTCTTATACGGGGGATATTTGCTGCGAAATTTGGCGATTTTTGCAGCAACAGAGCGTGTTAAATATAGATATATAAAACGCACCCGGTATTTCACAGTGTTTCAAGTGACTTCAGATAAAGTATAATTCTATATTCTTTGCTCTAACACACCTGTAACTTGACCTAAATGCAAGGTGGCCTGTATGCAAACATAGGTCCTTGTGGCATTCCAAACACCTGACCAAGATTCGATCGGTTCAGGTTCCTTGAACCGCAGATCTCCTATTGGTGGTTTAGCGTAAGGGATACCTTCGAAAGCCGCGTATTTCCTGCCGTTGAATGATGTTCGCCATGTTCCCTCAACCTTTCCAATTTTTGTCTCGACTTGTGGCTGGCCATTTACAGTAGTTACAAGACCTGGAAATTTCTTTAGATGAATCGAGGCATACACAACTGGTGGCAGAAGCAAGGTGAATCTCTGTGATCGCTGAGCCTGATTGTCATAACGAAAATGGATGTTTGACCAAATGACAATTGAAACGATACGTAATGTGATTTCAAACTTCTTGTTCTTAGAAGCTCTAACCAAATATGCAATAAAGCAATAAAATAGGGGTATTCTTTTTAAAAAATACTTGTTTGTTATAACGCGAAGCTATTAATTTATTAATTAATAATATATTTAATAAAACATCCAAAATTTACATTCTAGGTGTATTATAGAATCATCAAACGCGATTCACAGAAACAACTGCACTTATCCGCGGACTAAATAAAACGATCAACCTAAGATCCATATACTTTCTAGGCTGAAAATTTTATAATGTTCTCACTGCAAACTTTAGTCATATAAAATGTAGGAAACGTTTCAAAATTGATTTAAAGCTTTGGACCTTAAACCAAAGTCGTAAACTTGTAGACATAGAAAATCAATATGTTATTTGATATATTGATGCAATTACATTTCACTTGTATACTTATAGGAAATTTGTTATACGTATTTATATAAACTAAGTGACATATAAAATGCAACACCCAGAATTATTTATTGAATTTTGATAAAAAAACCTGTAAACATATTTGATATAATGGAAGTATACGCTGATAAAATGTTGAAGGCACTCCGAGCCGTACTTTTTTGTAAAAGATTTTTTACCGTATCAGGATCCGAACAATATGAACATCTCTACTTAATGTTCAGTAGTTTTTCTGGGTTGGTTCCATTTGTTTCATTGTTGTTTCACTGCATTATCACGCAAACGCGCTACTTGTGATTTGAATAGAATATACAGGGCTAGTTGAAAAAACAGGAACGGTGGATTATCTCACTAAGTGACATATAAATCCGAACACCCAGTTTAAATGGTTTTATTTTAATAAAAGTTGGTGAATATATTCATCTTACTGTAAATAACAAGTGAACAAATGTTCAGCCTTATCAGTTGGACATTCCGGTTTTTATACTGCTTTTTTTTGATTCACTAACGCTCTAAAAATGAATATTTTAGCCGCAGTAAAGAATCAACGATGGCGGATTTTGGTTCTTGAAATCCTTTACGATTGGTTACGATGCCTAGAGTACGGAGACCTGTACGATTTCGTCAACTTAGTGAGTTTGATAGGGGCCGTATAGTGGGACTTCGGGAAGCTGGACTTTCTTTTCGGGCAATTGCAGTTAGAGTGCAAAGAAGTGTAGACACTGTGGTTAGGTGTTGTCAGGCATGGCTTCGAGAAGGCCGTACGCAAAGAGCAAGGGGCACTGGACGCCGCCGTAGAACAACAGACCGTGAAGATCGCCGCCTAAGATTTTATTGGCCTTAAGGGACCGTTTCTCCACTACCAGGTCCATTGCAAATGAATGGTTTGCAGAACACGGAAGACCTATTGGCATGCGAAGTGTTTACCGACGAATGAGAAGTTTTGGCTTGTTTTCATACCGGCCACACTGGGTCCTCCTTTTAACTCGAGAACACCGACGTAATCGCCTTGAGTGGTGCAGACAACGGTCACTCTGGGATCAGGAATGGAACAATATTGTCTTTAGTGACGAGTCTCGATTTTGTTTAGGCATGCACGATGGTCGTGCCAGGGTTAGAAGGCGACGTGGTGAAAGGAGGAATCCACAGTTTTTTGTTGAAAGACATGTTCATCATACTGTTGGAGTTATGGTTTGGGGTGCTATAGCTTATGGTTCCAGGTCACCTTTAATCTTCATCAGAGGTAACATGAACGCGCAGCGTTATATCCACGAAGTTCTAGAACCCCATCTTTTACCCTATCTTGACACCCTGGCAGATCCAACTTTCCAACAAGATAATGCCCGACCACATGTTGCAAGAGTCACAATAGACTTCTTTCAACATAATGATGTCACATTGTTGCCATGGCCACCAAGATCTCCCGACTTATCCCCAATTGAGCACGTGTGGGATATATGATGGGTAGGAGATTGCTCAATTTGCAACGTCCTCCTCAGACTCTAGAAGCACTTCGAGAGGAGTTGGTGGTTGCCTGGAATGAGATACCACAGGAGGACATTGACCACCTGATCAGAAGCATGCCTAGGCGCGTTGGAGAATGCGTAGCACATCAGGGTGCATCCACGCATGATTAAAGGTCAAAGGGCTTTAAAGCAGTGCAATCATTTTGAAATTTTTATCATTTACTTATTATGCTTCATTAAGTACTTATACAAAATTTTATTAAAATAAAACCATTCAAACTGGGTGTTCGGATTTATATGTCACTTAGTATATTTGCAAGGTTGCCAAGTTTATAGTTTTGTCTCTAGATTAGAGAATTTTAAAATTTTAAAACTAATACCCTAATGTTTAATATTGTAATCAATAGCCTGTTTCAACATTATTAAGACGTGATATTATCGTTTTTTCACTCCTGTCAATTTCGGAGAAATGGCATCACGCTTTGTTTCATTCCTTACACTTGCACCTTAGTAAGAAATCATCCGTTTGTTTGTTTTCCAAAATAAACAAGAAGGCGTGTTACTCATTTGTTTGTAATGCCATGGAGGCTTCAGAACTATAACAACTAGAAATATCGAAACAATTCAAAAGTGACAAAACGGAAAACGAATTGAAATTCTTATTTTTCGAGGATATGGAGATAAACAAAGATCTTAACAAGAAGTGTGAAATTTGTTTAATGCGCTATATCCCGAAAAACAAATTAAAAAATCTACCATCTGCAGGATAGTAAGAAACTTGAAACTGTTGAAGCCGGCGGAGTGAAAGGAACACCTGGATCAGGGAGATCGATAACTGCTTGTGACTTGAATAGAATATACAGGGTTAGTAGAAAAAACAGGAACGGTGGATTATCTCAGCAACGGCCAAATATATACTAAGTGACATATAAATCCGAACACCCAGTTTAAATGGTTTTATTTTAATAAAAGTTGGTGAATGTATTTATCTTACTGTAAATAACAAGTGAACAATTTTTCAGCCTTATCAGTTGGACATTCCGGTTTTTATACTGCTTTTTTTTTAATTCACTAACGCTCTAAAAATGAATATTTCAGCCGCAGTAAAGAATCAACGTTGGCGGATTTTGGTTCTTGACATACTTTACGATCGGTTACGATGCCTAGAGTACGGAGACCTGTACGATTTCGTCAACTTAGTGAGTTTGATAGGGGCCGTATAGTGGGACTTCGGGAAGCTGGACTTTCTTTCCGGGCAATTGCAGTTAGAGTGCAAACAAGTGTAGACACTGTGGTTAGGTGTTGTCAGGCATGGCTTCGAGAAGGCCGTACGCAAAGAGCAAGGGGCACTGGACGCCGCCGTAGAACAACAGACCGTGAAGATCGCCGCCTAAGATTATTGGCCTTAAGGGACCGTTTCTCCACTACCAGGTCCATTGCAAATGAATGGTTTGCAGAACACGGAAGACCTATTGGCATGCGAAGTGTTTACCGACGAATGAGAAGTTTTGGCTTGTTTTCATACCGGCCACACTGGGATCAGGAATGGAACAGTATTGTCTTTAGTGACGAGTCTCGATTTTGTTTAGGCATGCACGATGAGTCGTGCCAGGGTTAGAAGGCGACGTAGTGAAAGGAGGAATCCACAGTTTTTTGTTGAAAGACATGTTCATCACACTGTTGGAGTTATGGTTTGGGGTGCTATAGTTTATGGTTCCAGGCCACCTTTAATCTTCATCAGAGGTAACATGAATGCGCAGCGTTATATCCACGAAGTTCTAGAACCCCATCTTTTACCCTATCTTGACACCCTGGCAGATCCAACTTTCCAACAAGATAATGCCCGACCACATGTTGCAAGAGTCACAATAGACTTCTTTCAACATAATGATGTCACATTGTTACCATGGCCACCAAGATCTCCCGACTTATCCCGAATTGAGCACGTGTGGATATGATGGGTAGGAGATTGCTCAATTTGCAACGTCCTCCTCAGACTCTAGAAGCACTTCGAGAGGAGTTGGTGGTTGCCTGGAATGAGATACCACAGGAGGACATTGACCACCTGATCAGAAGCATGCCTAGGCGCGTTGGAGAATGCGTAGCACATCAGGGTGCATCCACACATTATTAAAGGTCAAAGGGCTTTAAAGCAGTGCAATCATTTTGAAATTTTTATCATTAACTTATTATGCTTCATTACATGTATACAAAATTTTATTAAAATAAAACCATTTAAACTGGGTGTTCGGATTTATATGTCACTTAGTATAAATCAACCAAATTTTGTGCGGAGGGATAACTCAATGTGAAGAATTCAAAGATTCGATTTGCAAGGTTGCCAAGTTTATAGTTTTGTCTCTAGATTAGATAATTTCAAAATTTTAAAACTAATACCCTAATTTTTATTATTGTAATCAATAGCCTGTTTCAACATTATTATGACCTGATATCATCGTTTTTTCACCCCTGTCAATTTCGGAGATATGGCATTGGATTAACTCAGCAACCTAGTCGGAGTTGAATTCTCTATGTCATTTAGTATAATTATTCACGAGTTTAAACCCAAGTACCAGTATATAGTTTTTTGGATATCTTATGCTTATTGGACGCTACCGTTGTTATTTATAGGAAAACTTTGCAGTTAGAGCAATAAAAATATTGTTATTATTATTAAAATGGAGACTGTATAGAGATGTAACAGATACTTACATTTAATTCCAACGAAACTCAGAAATATAACATACGGTCGTAACATGGTAACCGGCTTCTAGTGAATAATATAGCAACAAAAATCAAGGCTGTAGCTTAGGATAATAGGCACTGAAATGACGTCTGTAACACTGTTTCAATGCTATCTGCACTATGCAAAGTGCAGATTCAAAGGTAAAATCGGTCAGTGGCGTCACAGTGGGATAATTTATCCACATGCAGGCTGTTCGTTCACTTGAAAACTACCCACCACGGATTTATCCAAAAACCAATGATTAAAAGAAAAAAACGCCGACAGATTTGTCAAGAGAGACAACTTTTTAACCAAAAACTACCTCACCCCCTTTCACCCCCTGCCCCCAGGGTCATCTCCTTAAAAATTGTAAATAATAATAATAATAATATTTATTTACTCTAAAATACAGGGAACATGAAACGAGTAAATAAATATAATATATCCATAGGAGGACAACGCCTGTGCATGGATCATATGTATGTTGAATTGCAAAATATAATAAAATAGAGAGAAAAAAGAAATTATTGGTAAGAATGGTAGAGCATTTATTGTGTAATATTTGAGATTATTTTATTAATTTGATTTCTCCCAATCGTGTTAATAAATTTTTTTGATTTTTTTTGAAGCCTAATGTATTGCGTAATTGTTTTAAATTATTTGGTAAATGTTCGTACAATTTTGGAGCTATATACAGGTGACATCGTTTCATTAGGGATTTGTTTGCTTTAGGAACATTTTCTGCGCGTAATTTATATCTGGTTTTATGATTATGTTTAATTATGTCGTGTTCACTAACAGTTTTGTGATAATGAGTGATGGTATGTAAGAAGTAAAGTTGTTTAGTATCATATACTTGTGCATCATTATATAAGTCATTAGTTGGGTATAATTTTGATTTGCCTAACATTGATTTTAAAATTCTTCTTTGAAGTACATCTAAATCGTTAAAGTATGTAGTGCATGCAGCACCCCACACTACTATACCACATGTTATGTGTGGCTCGACTAAAGCTTGATATATTATTCGTAGATAATATTCAGTTAATATATCGGTTAGGAATTTTATTTTATATGTTATGAATCTAATTTTCTTTAGTATATGAGAAATATGTACATCCCATCTCAAGTGGGGATCTAGATAAATTCCTAAATATTTTGTATCATTAACTCTATTGATTTTTATATTTTTATCATTTACCTTAAACCGAAGGTGGTTATATTTTGGTAGATGATTAGATAGTGATGAAAATGGTAAAAAATGAGTTTTAGTAAAGTTAATTGTTAATTTTCGGTTATTAAACCACTGAATAATTTTGCAAAAGTCATTTTGGATAATATCTTTTAAGTCGTTCCAATCCTTACCTTTATAGAGTATAGCAGTATCGTCTGCAAAACTGACTATTTTACCAGTACTGTTAATTTTGAATATATCGTTTAAATAAATATTGAATAAGAGAGGACCCAAAATTGTACCATGTGGAACACCACATTTAACAAACATTTCTTTACTATACGAGCTTAATAATTTTACTGATTGCGGTCTATTTGATAAATAATTTTCCATTAAAGTATACATCTTTCCACGAAAACCTATTCTTTCTAAGATTTCCAAAAGTATATTGTGGTTAACTGTGTCAAACGCTTTTTTGTAAGTCCACAAATACGCATATCGATGGTACTTTTCCATCTATATTTTGGGTTATTTCATCTACTATACTTAATACCCCATCTGTTGTAGATTTGCCCGCTATAAAACCATATTGATTTGAATTTAGAATTTTGAATTTATTAAGAAAATAAATCATTTTATTAAGGAGTAATTTCTCAAAAACTTTAGCTAAACTTGATATAAGTGAAATAGGTCGATAGTTAGTGACGTCCGTATTATCATTAGATTTATAGATAGGTATGATGATTGCTGTCTTGAAAGCTGATGGAAATACTCCAGATTGGAAGGATTTGTTAATGATATAAGCAAGTGGATCTGTTATTTGTTTGGCCAGTATCTTTAGATGTTCAGCTCTAATTTCGTCAACTCCAGGGCTTTTTTTATTTTTTAGAGTCATAATGGCATTGAAAACATCCTGATAGTCTACTTCAGTTAATACAAATGAATTATTCAGTCTTGTTTCATGCAGATGAATATCAGCATTTTGTTTGATATTATTTGCTAAGTTTCCTCCTATATTCGTGAAAAATTCTATGAACTCATCACATATTTGCTGAATATTGTCTGTTTTCTGTCCTGTTTTTGTTTTTATTTCATTAATATTGTTTTTTGAATAGGATGACTTATTGAATATATCATTGACAGTGGACCATAGGTGTCTAGAGTCATGTGAATTATTATTCAATTGTTTTATATAGTAATTTTTTTTTTGCTTTTCTCAAAAGTTCTATAAATTTGTTTTTATACTGATTATAATGATCTATATTTTCTTTCGTGGGTAAATATTTCATGATTTTATACAGTCTTTCTTTTTCGTTTGCAGATTTTATTTGTCCTTTGGTCATCCAATCATTTCTGCTTTTTTCCTTGTGACTTATTTTAACCTTATTAGTACTAACTTCAATTACTTTTTGAATTTTGTGTATTAATAAATTTGTAGCTTCGTCTAAAGAATTTGTTAAAAAAATTTCGTTCCACGAAATGACAAGAGTTTAATAGCTTGTTTGAAAGATATTTATTTTGACGTTTGATTTTTTTAAATCTGTCGATCCGTTTTCAAGAAAATTATAAAAATCTTTTATAACTTTTTATTTCAATAAGTGTTCAAAATGTAGTCGGTTATTGGCCAAACAATGATATAGGCGATGTTCAAATTCCTGATCGTCACTTTGTTTGTTTCATAAACTGCCTGCCCATACATTATTTTTTTGGGGGTACATTGCTCCACTACCTGCAGTTAGGCTTATTAACAAATCCATTTAGTTAAAATGTGCATTCGTCACTGAAGAAGATATTCTTTACATATATGGTATTATCATTAACCGTTGCCGTCATTTGTTCTCAAAACGCCTATCGAAATCATCTTCGGTTAGTTAGCTCTTGCAATACAGTGGAGCCCCGATAATCCGGCGCCCCCTGTAATCCGACATGTCTTTGAATATGTATTACATACATACGTATTTGACAATCTTCGCTAATGTAGATCACGCAGGTTTGAACAGGTTACAACTTGTACGCGCCACCGCTATCGTGCTCGACGCGTAAGCATTGTTTTACTTAGTTTGAATTTGACTACTTGTGATAGCGGTACGGCCTAGCGTGCGTTTATTGTTTACTATTTATTCATTGTGTATTAAGTATAGTACCTAGTAATGAGAAGCGAAAGCACAAAACATTGGCAATTCAAGAAAAATGTGATATTTTAGACCGCTCAAATCGCAATGAAACTTTCAGTAGTTTAGCAAGTGAATACGGTGTAGGCCGATCTACAATTTATGACATTAATAGAAACCTCGAGAAGATCATGAAGTTCGTGTCAACTACTGACTGCGGGCCAGGCAAGAGACAGACACTCAAGAAAGCTGAACACCCAGAAGTGGAAGAAGCTTTGTACATGTGGTTTCTTCAGGAAAGAAATAGGCATGCACCAACTTCACGACCCATATTGGCCATGAAAGCTAAGTTTTTTTATAAGGAAATAACAAAAAAAGATGATTTTGTGGCTAGCAAAGGATGGCTAGAACGTTTTAAGAGTCGTCATGGCATACGTTTAAGGACTATTACAGGAGAGAAACTTTCTAACGATGCCACCTGCATAGAGCCCTTTAAATTAAGATTTTTGCAAAAGGTGAACGATTTAAATCTTGACCCGTCACAGGTGTACAATGCAGACGAATCAGGGCTTTTTTGGCGTGTGATGCCTAACAAAAATTTCGTTTCTTGTAACGAAAAATCCGTACCTGGACGAAAAGTAAGTAAAGAGCGTATAACTATGCTACCATGTGCTAACGCTGCGGGCACACACGCGCTTAAAATGATGGTCATTGGGAAATCTAATAAACCACGGGCATTCAAAAACATTGATTTACCTGTACACTATTACGGACAAAAAAGTGCATGGATGACAAAAGACCTTTTCAAAAAGCGGTTTGATGAATGCTTCGTACCTAAAGTTAGAAAATGGTTAAAAGATCATAATTTTTCTCAAAAAGCGTTGTTGCTTCTTGATGCATCCATCTGAAGAAGAACTAACAACTGAGGATAAAAGCATCACTGCGATGTTTCTTCCGCCAAATTGCACTGCACTGATTCAACCAATGGACCAGAATATCGTTCAGTTTGTCAAGCAAGACTATAAGAAAAACCTACTTCTGAGAGCCGTATCAAAAGACCAACCAATAGAAAAAACTTTAAAAGAATTTAATATGGTAGACTTGGTTTTTGCTCTTTGTCAGTCGTGGAATGCGTTACCGTCATCAACTATTAAATCGTCTTGGAAAAAGTTATGGCCAGATATAGTCACCACTCCTAGCAACGTTCCACAAATCAGTGTTACTTCGGAAGTTATAGAAAAAGTCGCTACTGAAACACAGATAGGTCCGGAAGATTTGGAAATCTGGTGCCGTGGAATGGATAAAGAGGAAAATGTTTTTCATCAAATGTCTGACGAAGAGATTATAAAAGAGGTTTCTAATTATACAACAAACAATCAGGAAAATAACGACGACGTGATTGCAACTGCTCCACAAGTCACCGAACAAGACACAATTAACGCCTTTGAGCTAGGTTAACACTGGGCTGAAGAGAATGGTACATCCTACAACAAACTTTTACTTTTGAGAAGACTGAGGGACAAAGCTCTGATCTCGCGTTATAACAACCTCAAACAAAAAAAAATTGATGAATATTTCCAAATTTCATAATTTGATATATTCATTAATGATTTTGATTAATAATTCTTGATTATTTTGGTGCATATGTATGTGCATTTATGCTCAATTTTATAATAAAACGTAAGCTCTCTATTGTTATTTAATTTACTAAATTCGACATACATAAACTATGTATGATTTGTACTTCAAAGTATATACATATACATAACATATATTATCTTACCATTGGATATGTAAGTTTTCGGATTACAAGGTACTCTTTTGTAAAAAATTGCAGACTATAGGGGGTATTAGGCAGTGCTCTATAATCCGACAAATTCGATTGTCCGACATAACCCTGGATAATGTTTGTCGGATTACCGGAGGTCCACGTACTTTCATTTTGAATCGATGAAATTTATGGAATTTAGTAACCGTGTATACAGAATCTAATGAAATACCAGTCGCAGCAACAATTTTGCGTAATGAAGTATTAGGATTTATTCCAAAATGATCCAAAACTCGTTAGCCTTCATAGATCAACATCGTATCAACCGTATACCTTGGCCACCACGATCGCCCGATCTGTCTCCTGAGCTTAAAGCCCTTGACATTTCAATTCAAAATACAATTAAAAAACAGACGAGGTTTGTGATTGTTCTTAGTGGAGGATTTCTTCGTTATGGTATCCTAGTTCATCATGTCTACATAATTTTCTATGGCTTCTTTTGACTTTGTTTGGAAACGCCACTGGATTTTTATCGTAGCGAACTATTTAACTAATGAAAACAGTATGAGAAACGGTTATAGATGGTGCTTTGTCAAAGATCAAAGGTAACGAAGTAAAGTTCATTTCAACAAAAACTTAACACAAAATTTATTGGCTTTAATTTTAACAAACACAAAATAATATCAAGTTGTTGTACTTTTAGATATTTGGATGTATGTTCTGACAAATTAATCTTATAGATATCGAAAAAGCTGGGAAACCCTACCGAAATTCGATATTTTTTATTCTCATTGATGGTGATTAAGCTTCACCATTTATTTGTTTATTTGACCAGAGACAGGTTATAATATACCATTATTCACTAGAATAAAATCTTCAGAAAGTAGGGAAAGGGAAACCTAAAACTGAATAAGGGCACTTGATTACGTGTACAAAAATTGTACATGTATTTCTAATAATAAAGTAAAATTGCAATTACCCGCATTCAACGCATTTACATACATAAATAAATTTGATCACTTTAAACAAACTAGGATATTTTTAAGTACTACAAAGCTTACGACAACAGGAGGTTCCGCTTTCTATACGTATCTTATACAATATAAAATAAGAGCACATTAAGCCTATGTTAAGCACCCGATCATTAACGAATGAAGACCCAAGTCCTCGATTCAAATAAACAGTTTAACTGTTTTTATTAATGTTTTTAATTGTTTTAAATATACCTTTTCTCCATAAACTAAATCACCTAAATTAATTAAACGGCTTAATTCAACAGGTACATGGTTTGCTATTTTCGAGCAAATCAGTTTGATAGTTTATTATTTTCAATTAAACTGGTTCCAAAAAATTCAATTTATTTAAGCCTAATAATTGAGTTACTTAGCATAATAAAAACTTGACCATTGATTTACTTTCATAGGTCATAGGAATCCCTCGGGTTGTTAAGGCTCCACGTTGCTAGCATACCCGCCGCTGCTCACAAGAAAACAACAGTATGTATACTCTGGGCGCTGAAGAAAGACATTAAACGTAAACAGTGATCAGCACGTGAACAGATCCCTCGAAAGCATCCACGGATATACTCCAGTCACTTTAGGTCTAAACATCCTCGGCAGTGTATTTCTAGTGAATCCACAGACCCTTTTTCGTGTCATCTGGAGACTAGAAAAAGGATGACTGTTAAAATAAGTTACCTTGATCTTTCATGAGCTCCCAGTACAAAACATCATCGATATATTTTTGATGTAGGAACAACAAATTGGTTTAGAAAACATCCACTTTGAACCTAAATTGACTGGAGTAACATCGATCTACAGACAAATTCAAGGTCACTAGCAGTCGTCGGCGCTCTACGAATCTGCACAGGTTTGGACTTGTAAACGTGATTGTAGATGACACGACAGGCATCTAACAGTTAATTCACGCACAGGATTGCATTGCATACGCATTACGCATTCAGTAGCGTATACTCGTTTTTCGCGAGTGGAACGTTTTGTTTATATATTGCCTAAGATACGATGTCTGACACAGATACAGCCGACGAAGTGGTTGACATCAGCGCAACCCCACCCAAAAAAAGGGCTAAGAAGCTACATTTAAGTGCAAATGAAAAACAAATAATATTAAATATATACAAAAACCAAATTCAGGAAAAACCCGATTTGGTCGTGGACGAAGTTATATGTAAGGTAGCACATATTTCTGGAGTATGTCGGTCCAGTGTTTATAGGATCATTAAGGAATATAGGAGCACTCACTCACTTTCTGAGCCAAAACCGTATCCTGCAAGAAAAAGGATAACGGACGGAGTAGATGACTTTGACAGAACTGCCATCAGGAGGAAAGTGCATAATTTTTTCTTCCGAAATGAGATACCTACAGTAGATAAGATATTAAGATTAGTTAATGCTGATGAGGATCTTCCATCATTTAAAAGAACCACATTCCGAAAACTTTTGAAGGAACTTAATTTTCGATTCTTGAAACGGGGAAGAAACAGTATATTAATAGAGAAAGAAGAAATTGTTGTGTGGAGAAGGGAATACCTTAGGAAGATTCGGAAGTATCGCGATGAAAAAAGAAAAATTTACTATTTGGACGAAACGTAGGTGAATGCTGGACATACTCAAGCGAAAGTTTGGGTCGACAAATCAGTAACATCATCAAGGCAGGCTTTTCTAGACGGTCTTTCGGCTAGATTGAAAAATCCTGCAGGTAAGCTCCTTCATCTATCCGGCAATTTAATTTTGATAAATTCGGGCAAATAATATGCTGTGATAGCAGATAATGTGTGATATTCTCCAAAAATGGTGTATTCGCAGTGTAGTCATTAGGAAAAAAACTTCGACCCTCTTTTAAGCGTTATTTTGAAATTTATTATCATTTTTGGGTGCAGTCAATTTGCTTTGAATGGGTTTTGAGAAGTTGCAAACTTCAATTTTCTACGTTTTTCAGTTTTTGATCAGCATTCCGTGACTCTTAAATTCAGCTAAGTGAACTCAATTGCCTCATTCCTTCAAATTTAATCAATCCATAGTGTAAGGAATAATTTATTTCCAGGAAAAGGCAAACGGCTGATCATTTGTCACGTAGGTAGTGAAGACGGCTTTGTTCCCGAAGCACTGTGGGCCTTTGAATCAAAAAAGACAGGGGACTATCATGAGGAGATGGACGGCAATTCCTTTGAAAATTGGTTCTCCAAAATGTTACCAAAGCTGGAGAATAACGCTGTTATTGTACTGGATAATGCCCCGTACCATTCTAGAAAAATAGAAAAAATTTCCACAATGGCAACTAAAAAAGCAAACATACAACAATGGCTGGCCTCAAAACAGATCGATTTTGATGAAACAATGGTCAAGGGTGAATTGATAAGTATAGTCAATAGACATAAATAACAAATACGATTTTAAAATGATCGACGAAATGGCCAAAAAACAAAATAAAACTGTCTTGAGACTGCCACCCTACCATTGTCAGCTGAACCCTATTGAGCTGATTTAGGCCAACATAAAGCAATACGTGGCGTCGAATAATAATACTTATAAATTTTCTGATGTTAAAAATCTCTTTCACATCGCAGTCAATAGAGTTACGGCAGAGGAATGGAAAAACTGTATCCGCCACGTTCGGGAGAAGGTTGAGGTCAAAATGTGGGATTTGGACAATGTCATCGATACCCAAATTGAACCTCTAATAATTGATTTAAACGATTCAGAAGATTCAAGTTCCTCTTCTGAATGAGTGCGCGCAGCTTACTTACTAATAACTAAAAAGTGTAGTTAACTCATTTGTGAATCTCTAACTGAAATTTACTGTAAAAGATAATAATTATCTTGTATGAAATTTTTGATGACTACCCATAATATCTTGATGCGGTCCTGTAATGTCTCCTGCGCCTAAACACTCACTCACGAGCAATATGCGTGTATTTGTTTGGGTTTAGTTTCTTTCTTCAGCGCCTAGAGAATAGTACCACCACCGATCTCCATAGTTCTCAAGAACCCAAAAACCGTCGTACCAGAAGCGAGACCAATGCAAGTAGATTTATTTACAATTCGTCTTTTTTACTAATAAGCGTATTATTTTCTAAAAGGCCTAAGCCGTCCCAGAACTTCTTTGTATGGAAGTCTGTTTCTACGCGTTTCTGGATATCGTCAGGACCATTGATATCGTAATATACGAAGTTCTTTTTCACTGGTTCCCATTTAGTGTTGTTGATGCTGGGTACTCTAAAACAGACGTAATTGTGGCTATATACTAAGTGACATAAAAATCCGAACACCTAGTTTAAATGGTTTTATTTTAATAAAATTTTGTATAAGTACTTAATGAAGCATAATAAGTAAATGATAAAAATTTCAAAATGATTGCACTGCTTTAAAGCCCTTTGACCTTTAATAATGTGTGGATGCACCATGATGTGCTACGCATTCTCCAACGCGCCTAGGCATGCTTCTGATCAGGTGGTGAATGTCCTCCTGTGGTATCTCATTCCAGGCAACCACCAACTCCTCTCGAAGTACTTCTAGAGTCTGAGGAGGACGTTGCAAATTGAGCAATCTCCTACCCATCATATCCCACACGTGCTCAATTGGGGATAAGTCGGGAGATCTTGGTGGCCATGGTAACAATGTGACATCATTATGTTGAAAGAAGTCTATTGTGACTCTTGCAACATGTGGTCGGGCATTATCTTGTTGGAAAGTTGGGATCTGCCAGGCTGCGCATTCATGTTACCTCTGATGAAGATTAAAGGTGACCTGGAACCATAAGCTATAGCACCCCAAACCATAACTCCAACAGTGTGATGAACATGTCTTTCAACAAAAAACTGTGCATTCCTCCTTTCACCACGTCGCCTTCTAACCCTGGCACGATCATCGTGCATGCCTAAACAAAATCGAGACTCGTCACTAAAGACAATACTGTTCCATTCCTGATCCCAGAGTGACCGTTGTCTGCACCACTCAAGGCGATTACGTCGGTGTTCTCGAGTTAAAGGGAGGACCCAGTGTGGCCGGTATGAAAACAAGCCAAAACTTCTCATTCGTCGGTAAACACTTCGCATGCCAATAGGTCTTCCGTGTTCTGCAAACCATTCATTTGCAATGGATCTGGTAGTGGAGAAACGGTCCCTTAAGGCCAATAATCTTAGGCGGCGATCTTCACGGTCTGTTGTTCTACGGCGGCGTCCAGTGCCCCTTGCTCTTTGCGTACGGCCTTCTCGAAGCCATGCCTGACAACACCTAACCACAGTGTCTACACTTCTTTGCACTCTAACTGCAATTGCCCGAAAAGAAAGTCCAGCTTCCCGAAGTCCCACTATACGGCCCCTATCAAACTCACTAAGTTGACGAAATCGTACAGGTCTCCGTACTCTAGGCATCGTAACCGATCGTAAAGGATGTCAAGAACCAAAATCCGCCAACGTTGATTCTTTACTGCGGCTGAAATATTGATTTTTAGAGCGTTAGTGAATTAAAAAAAATCAGTATAAAAACCGGAATGTCCAACTGATAAGGCTGAAAATTTTTGCACTTGTTATTTACAGTAAGATAAATACATTCACCAACTTTTATTAAAATAAAACCATTTAAACTGGGTGTTCGGATTTATATGTCACTTACTATATTTTGAAGTACATAAGATATGCTTATTTAGTAAAATGGTACAGTACAATTCGGCTAAATTTGACTTCGGTCTGGATTTTATATGAATTTATAATATTAACTTACCCTTTGCTAGCGTAAGCATAGAGGATATCCAAACAGTCGTCTTTGACTTTTATGTCTTCGTCTGAAAGTGGTTTGGATATGGCTGCCCCCAGGAAGTAAATCATATCATCACCATGAAATACACCTGAAAAAAATGCTAGTATTTACACTGTCTCGCATACAGGGCGACACAGAAAAACATGTCAATCTCTCGTATGCATATAGAACACAGAAAAAATGCTACAAGTTTGTATATGAAATGTACGGAACTCCCTTCAGGGATACAGGTCCCTAAGTCCCGCTTTTACTAAGCCGTGGGTCACAAATTCAACCAATGGGAAGGCGTATTTCTCCCAAACAAATAATTATACTCAGCGACATTAGAAATGTTACATCCAGAAAAAGTAATTTGTTCAACTTGATTGCTTAGCGACAGTGGTCCGCAGTCACAGGAAGCACTAACCGTGGATAGAGTGTATGCATAGTGACAGGCCTTCTTCTAGAAACGATTGGTCAGCGATCTGACGCCTAGTAGCAAAACGGTCTCGTAGGGCTGGTTGTCTGAAGCACCTATCTTGATGCTCTGTTGTACGCCTCGGTGGACCAGTTTGCCTTCTTCGTGTTCCTCTACCTTCTTCGATCCACACACGACACACACGCATTACCGTTATTGCAGTACAATCAACACGGTGGCTAATTTCGCGATAGGACAAGCCAACATCTCGATAGGCAATAATTCCACCACTGTCAAAGTCGCTAACATGGTGATAATTTGGACGTCTTCGAACTTAATGCTTTTTGTTATGCTTACCACTGGTAAATGAAATGACAATAATTCAAAATATCTGTACTACTGATAAATTACTTAGCTTAACTACCTGTATTTTTATTTGATTCCGGATACTAAATGTGCGGCCATGGTCATACAATGAACCAATCGAAAAAAGTATTTGAGTCATACTCGACATGGACACAAGTCCGATACAACAATCAAATGAGCTGTTGCTGTACAAAATTCTGCTCTCTAAATTCTTTGAGGAAATGACTATACTACAACTATTTAAAACTGTAATGACTCATACGCGTGATCAACACGTGATCAGAGCTCGATCCCGGCATCCTTCCAGTACAGCCGTATAGCGTACGACATATTTATGTCGTTTCTGTGGCTTTGCGGTGGTCAACAGCACAGACAGAGATGGAAATAATGGCTGATTGTTCTCCGCCGGTAGAACCAATGAAATCAAAGACGCGCCTCGACCGGCAAACTCATAGGCGTCGGCAACGCATTGGAACGTGTTTCGTTGAGCGATCGCATATTGTGTGTTTTTATAAGAATTGTTGTGTGATTGTTATTGTTGTGGTTTCTGTAGTTACTGTTTTGGTTATACTTAACCATGGAGAGTACAAATGGCACGAGTGAAAGTACTGAAAGCCAGGGAACAAGTAGACGGCTTCGTAAAGCACTGAAGAGGGACGCGAAAGAAATCGGCTCAACGTGTTCAATTATCTGAACAGAACTATGTCGCAGGGAAATGCACTCGCGCGTTGTGAAAGTATGACAGGCGTTACAGAGTGGACCATTCGCAGGGTGGTGCATGAAAAGAAGAAAACTGGAGCTACTGCTGATCCAAAGTTTAATTTGAAGGGACGAAAGGCCGTTAAATTGGATGATGATAGCAAAATGGCGTTAAGGCGAACCGTACATTCATTCTTCTTTAGGAATGAGATACCAACCCTCAAGGCTGTACATGCAGCGATCAAGGAAAATGAAATTATACCCCAAATGAGCGTCGAGGTAATGAGGAAATCCCTGCACGAAATTAATTTTCGTTACGAAACGCGTAATCGGAAGTCAGTATTGATAGAGAGACCTGTAATAGTCGCCTGGCGTCGAAAATACCTACGCGAAATGATTGAATATAGGCGACAAAGCAGAAAAATCTATTATTTGGACGAGACATGGGTAAATGCAGGTCACACAGTTAAAAAAACCTGGATAGACAAAAACGTAGTGAGTAACCGACAAACAAGCATTGAAGGTTTGTCAACAGGACTTCGTGGACCGTCAGGGAAAGGTCAAAGATTGATCGTAACTCATATTGGTAGCGATAGTGGCTTTTTAGAAGAGTGTGACTTGATTTTCGTCTCTAAGAAAGGAGGTGATTACCATGACGAAATGAATGCCAGCTGCTTCGAGAGCTGGTTTCAAGGGGTGCTTCAGCGAGTTGAGCCTAACTCTGTGATCGTCATGGATAATGCTGCCTACCATAGTCGTCGAGCTGAACGTGTACCGACTATGGAATCTCGAAAAACTGACATGCAGCGATGGTTGCGCGAAAAAGGAATCCCGTTTGACGATTCATGTGTGAAAGCGGAATTGTATGAAAAAATTAAACAGCACAAACCTGCGAACATTAGTTACGTGACTGATAAGATGGTGTCACTGTGCTGCGGTTACCGCCCTACCACTGTGAACTGAACCCAATAGAGCTCATCTGGGCTCAAGTGAAGGGTTATATTGCGCGCCATAACACAACCTTCAAATTACCAGACGTTAAGGTTTTACTTGAGACCTCCATACAGCTAGTACCGCCCGAAGCTTGGCAGAATGCTATCCGTCATGTTGTGAAGGAAGAAACAAAAATGTGGCAGCTTGACCACCACATCGGCACCATCATAGAGCCAGTTATAGTCAATTTCAACGAGGAAAGCGATAGCGACAGTTTATTACTGTCAGATGTAAGTGGAAGCGACGATGAATAAAGGTAATTCCCAAATTTTTGACTTACAATATGTTTCAAACCACTCTTTATTAAGCATGTGACAAATTTAGTTCACCCATGTTAAACATTCATACCCCGCCTATGAACAGCCGACTACCGGTAGTTAAGTGATGTTCACGTGAACATCGATGAGTCATTACAGTTTTAGATAGTTATAGTATAGAATTACAGAATGTTCATTCTTTAACCAGGATCCAGTAAATATTCCATTTACTTGACTACCGTCCAAAAAATCCTTCAGCCAGCCCTGTTAACAGAGCTCGCGCGCCCTCTACTGGACAGTGGGACGACTACGTCACCGCGGCGCAGCATAGTTGCGTGGTTGTTTTATTGTCCGGTAGAGGGCGCGACATCTCGCTGTTATCGGTAACAGACGTTTTTTACAAGAACTTTTGTCATATTTTTGTTTTATATGCATATGAGAGATTAAGATGTTATTCCAGAGTCTACCAAACTAAAGCTGCCAGTTAAAAGGTTAGTTGAGTTGTTTATTTATCTTCTGGGTTCGATTTATTAGACACACGAAAAGTGGAAGGCGAATGAGCAGGTCAACCAAACAGAGAACCTCAGAAATTGTACCTTGTAACGATAATCTTACCCAACTAGCAAAGTAGTGGTATAAGCTTTTGGCAAAAGACCCGTTCAGCCATAAAAGTTCTCTATTGTTGTTGCCTGAACACCAAAATGCTGGCTTAATGTTGTGTGGAATACAGATTTGCTTTCTGCAACATGTTTGCTCTAAAATGAAGTGTTTAAAATATTCTTATAGCATAGTTATACAACACCTTATAGGGCAAATTTTTAACAGTTGCATAAACGTTTATACAACTATTTTATACGGCATATTTGCAGGTTAGTCAAAATGGTTGTGTTGTGGCATCCATGGTACCGTTTATAAAACAAACCCGAGCCTTGTTGTTTTGCTGTGCAATTTACTACTTTAGCCAACAAATTGCTCCCAACGGAAGCACTTGTACAACTGTTGTTTAGTAACTGTACATATGCTATATATGTTTGTAAACAACTTCACCATAACCTAACTTTCTGCTGTCACATTTTTGTAAAATGCCATAATCAATGTTTTAAGACAGAATAGTTGCATAGTTGACAAAAACTGAATCTTGCACTGACGCAAATGTCCTATAGCGGCTGCAAGAGGCTTACACTTTTGTTTTATAACTGTTACCTGCAGCCCTTATGCAACCTCTTAAATGACTGAAGTGTCCTATTAGGTGTGCGCATTCCGCTTGTATAGCTGTTCTAAGAGGGTTTTGCCAATGTTCTTACAGTATACAATGCTGTTTAAGGAATAAGGAATAATAGGAGTGATAATTGTTAGTTGGGTACCTTTTACTTCCTTTGGCAGCCTCAGTAATTCTTTTATACTGTTCACGCCTTCGTAATTGAAATGGTACACGAAGATTGGCGACTTGGTTACTTTAGACTGTAATCCCACGGAAGTTTGCATAGGCACCAATAATGGAGCTTCTGTTGAGAGCTAAAAAGAACTCTTGGTAAATTAATTGTTGTTAGTAAAGCTACCTGCTGGAGAAAGAAAGGAAAGCTTTCTATGGCAACAATGTGATAATTCGAAGCATTGTAAAAGGAATATTCTGAACGAGGTACCTTTGTCAGCTCGTCAAAGTTGAGGGTACCGTCACGATCATGATCGTAATGTTTCTTGATTTCATCGAAAATTTGAGGAGCTGCATTGTGATAGTCTAGAATGTGCGGTCCAGCGATCTCATTCCATTTTTCGTTTACTTCGTCTATTTTGGCGAGGAAGACTAAAAAGTAAAAATCATTTTTATTTTTCACTTTTAAAATTTTTAAAATTTCTGTATATGAATTTCGGCACAATACATTTTTTTGACTACATAACAAGGTAAACGTTTGGTATGCCTCAGACATAGGTGCCTGCAGGAGTTTTCATCAGGGAGACCGATTACATGTATCAGCCTCCGATATCTTACTTACTATACCAAATATGCAACTTTCAGGTGGCCGCCTGGAGAAACGCATGGTATGGGATTGGAGGATAAATGTATAGACCTTTATCTCGATCCACTAAATTTTTTTGTCATATAGCTGATAGTTAACCTCTTTCTACAAGTGGCTAACTTATGCCTTTTGCGAACTGATGATCCTGTGTAGAAAGCACAGAGTCAACCTACTTGATGCCATTTGTTTGTGATGTATGGTATATCTGAAGTCACTTGAAATAGAATAAAAACCTTTGGTCGGCGCGTCCTTTGTAATTTCATGACGTATCATAGGCGTGCCGTGATTTATTTAGAACGATAATAATAATGTTTTTATATCACAATAAATGGATTTTACTATCTCCTTATTTTTTTGATTTGGGATAAAAAATACTTATATTGGGAGTTTAATTTATGTTGACTGAAAGTTAAGAAATGGAAAAATTACAGAATTCCAACGTTTGACATACGCAAATATTTACATAGCAGGTAGGTATATAAAAAGGTATATAAAGACTTACATTATAGGTATTTATATATCATCCTCGCCTTCGGAGCTGTCGCTAGAGTCATCTTGTAGAGGAATTACTACGGGATTTACAGGAGACAATACACAATATTCATTTTTTTTTTTAATAATATGCCTAGAACACTGCTTCCATAGGTCTGTGGCAGCAATATGAGATACTGCATCTCTTATTGTGGCCAATAGCGATTCACTTAATTGAGGGGTCTGATTATGTTTTCTTACTTTTTTTTAAAGCAACCCAGACCAACTCAGTCGGGTTAAAAATGCAGTAATAGGGGAGGTAGACGTAATACTTCATGGCCATTTTGCTGAAGCAGATTGTCAACAACATACTCTTTTTCAAATTTTTGTCTTTTAATAAGATCCAATAATATGGCTTTGGTTGATCTTTGTGGTATTTCCATTCCCTTATCCTTCATAAAATCAATAATGTCTTGTTTTTTTGTGCCTGTATTCCGAATTTTGTTTTTCTGTCGGGAATGGTATGGCGCATTGTCCATAATAATCACTGAATTTGGGTAAATGTTTGGTATTAACTGTGCTGCTCTATCCACTTTTCAAATAAGTCGGAGGTCATGTCCTCGTGATAGTCGGCACATGATTCTTTGATATTTTTGGCAGATAACAGCGAGGCATTAGGTATAAATCCATTTTCACTGCCAGCATGGAGAATAATGATTCGTTTTCCACGTTTGCATGGTGCATTTAAAATGCACTTGTTGCTGTCGTCAACCGAGCCGTACTGCACAACATCATGGGTATCATACCACGTTTCATCCAGGTAAATCAGATTTCTTTTCTGCTCTCTATAGATTTTAACTTTGTGCAAAAATTCTTGGCGCAATTCAACGATTCGAGACGACTCCATAATCACCATTCTTTTATCTAATTTTTTGTATTGAAAACCACACAGTTTTACAATACAGTGCAGTGAGTCTAAGCATTTGTAATTATAAAAATCTTCAGGATAATCTCTTAATTTATCCCGTATCATTTCCAACGTGGGCACCAAATTTTCTTTATAAAATCCGTATATTATACGACGAATATCTTCCTGAAAACCCACGTCTATTCTTTTTAATTTTTGCCCTATGCGCTTTCTGTGGAAGGAATGGTTGACTACATCTCCCCTTTTTATAACTTGAGAAATGGTAGACCGACTGATTTTTGTCAGGATACAAATTCTGTTTAAAATTTGATTTTGCGAGGAATCTGGATTTTCGTTTTACAAACAATCATACATATTTAGGATTACTCTTTGGGTCTGTTCCTCTGAATCTTTATGAAAGAATTCTGCCTGCACAGGTTCATCAACCATCTCCTCGTGGCTTGGAGCATTTTCCCAAGGTTTCCAAAGAGCCATATTTAGGACACACAAGAACAATCAACACAACAATTAAATCAACAAGTAAACTGAGTATTCAAAAGTCAAAAACACGCAAACTAACAAAATCTATGAAAAAACACGGACAGACTAAAGAAAACACGTTTATTCACCGCTACACGGCACTGGCTAAACTGTTTCAATTTTCAGTAGCCACCTGCACTTGTTCGGAGCTCTGAAATACACGCTTTCTCATTGGCTATGTCCACGCATAGGCGTGCTTTACTCCACGTGGACCGGTGAAACTGCCTTTGATCTTATACGGGGGATATTTGCTTCGAAATTTGGCGATTTTTGCAGCAACAGAGCGTGTTAAATATAGATATATAAAACGCACCCGGTATTTCACAGTGTTTCAAGTGACTTCAGATAAACTATACAATTGTACGTCATGTGATACCAAAAAAAATGCGTCAAGTGGGTTGACTCTGCACTTCCTACACAACACCGTCATCATTTCATAAAGAAATTAAATTCAGCGCAATAATAAGTTTCCCACATTTTATTTTCATTCCCAAGGCATTTTTTATTTGAAAAAACGTATTTATCGTTGGAAACGTTGATCTTTAAGCTATTTTTCTACACAGTCGCCACTTTCTAATACATAAGCTCAAAGTCCTCTCTTTTGTACGACGCTGCGACCACTACGGACTGTTTTTCCAGTACAATCACAATAATAAAAAGGAATTTAGGCATATACAGGGATTGTCCGGAAAGTAATAGGACTCATTTTCTTGAGTGCTCACTGTCGACCAGAAATTGCGGCGAGTGGAAGTGTGCCAAGAAAATTTGAACATGTGTGAAAGTGACCCCCAATTTGTGAATAACGTAATCACAGGTGACGAGTCGTGGATCTTTGAGTATGATCCCGAGACAAAGAGGCAATCTTCCGAGTGGCACACGACGGCGTCTCCTCGCCCAAAAAAGGGAAGAATAAGCAAATCCAAAGTGAAAACGATGCTCATTGTCTTTTTTGACATCAAAGGCATCGTCCACCATGAATTTGTTCCTCCTGGACAAACCGTCAACGCCAAGTTTTACGTGGAAGTGCTCAGGAGACTCAAACGAAGAGTCAGTCGGGTCCGACAAGACATCGCAGCCGACTGAAACTTGCACCATGACAACGCCTTTCTTGTGAACAGCTACCTGACCAAGGCCGTCATCCCAACGCTTCCGCAGCCGCCCTACAGACCAGATGTGTCCCCCCCGGACTTTTTTTTGTTTCCTCGCCTGAAAAGTCCGACGAAAGGCAAGCATTTTGAGACGACAGAGGGGATCAAAGCAGCATGCACCGCGGCTCTCAAGGCTATTCCGGAGAATGCCTTCCGTGACACCTTCAATGCTTGGAAATCGCGCTGGCAGCGCTGCATCGACGCGGAAGGAGCCTATTTTGAAAGTTTTTAAAGAATTGTAACGATTGGCTCAATAAATTTTTTTTCCGGACAAACCCTGTATGTGGTCAGATTAGATGGGGTTCTAAGGTCACCTACTTGCACTGAGCACCAGCCCATCATCTTTGGTGATCGCAGCAATCCAAGGCACGTCGTACACTTTTCCTTGTTTGAGAAGATTGTAAGGGTGGTCGGCAAGGAAAGGTTCCTTGCCTCTCTTCTCTATGACAGGAGAGAAAGGACAACATGGAAGTTGTTCGAAAGAATACAAGGACCGACTCGTTTTCTCCACTAACAAGGAGGCGGGACGAGTTTTTAAGCATTTCACCATCTTTTCGGTCTCCTCGAAATCGCAGCCTACGTTCTCAGCTAAGCGTTTGGCTGCCTTCAATGGCTCCTCTTGTAGCGCCCATCTGCCTAGGGCTGTTCCGCTGGCCGACCATCCTCTACAAATACAGAAAAGTTTTTTGTACATTGATAAAAACAGTGTGGACTACGGAAAGGCCGTAGTACGGCAAGTGCCCTCCTCGATCTTACTGATAATATCATCAGAGCGAGGGATCACCATTCAGTTACGCCATTAATTCTCTTTGACTTTACAAAGGCATTCGATACAATAAATCACTCTCTTTTGATTGGTAAATGCAAGCATTATGGTTTCGATGATTCCTCAATGTGTTTAATACGCAGCTTTCTGATAAACAGATCCCAAAAGGTAGTCGTCGATTTAAAATTTTCTTCAGAACGTCTGATTTCCTCAGGAGTGCCTCAAGGATCAGTTCTTGGACCACTTCTATTTATTTTATATATAGCAGATATAAACAGGGCTGTGAGATTATGTAGTATTCAGTTTTTTGCTGACGACTCACAATTATATCATAGCTTCAATCATGAAAATTTAGGTCTACCTTCAGATGTTACTTTTCGGACAGAACCAGTTTCAACAAGACGATGAATATTAGAAAAGGTTCGGCTATCTGGCAAAGCACGATCGGGATATCTCTGGTGATCAATCCGTCTGGCTTCTTCACCATTACCGTCGGCAAGACCATATACGTAATGCATTTCCGTCATTTCTGCATTTGTTTAATTCACCATTATTGACAAGATTGTAAAAACTAAATAATGAAAAAGATGTCACAGCGAACAGATTTGAATAACATAGACTTGTCGGATGTCAAAAGCCAGTGACATATTCCAGAGCTACTAGATATTTATTGCTAAATTGCATTCTTCAATTATTACATTAATTTTCTAGGTCAATAGAACGGTTTTTATTTTTTGACTCGAAGGAAAATAATTGAAGAGAGATCATTTGTTTTAAATTAAACGGGGAATTCAAAAATAATTTTTATTTAGCAAAAAATACACGCTTAAATATTCGCATATCATTAAGGAATACCTTGTAAAGGGATTTATTTGAATTTAACTTTTTTCAATTACTTTTAGAATGCACTCATGTCATGTCGTTTTGCATTAGGCCTTGAAAGAGGAAGACTTTGATCGGAGGTTGGAATCATGTCATGTCGTTTTGCACTAGGCCTTGAAAGAGGAAGACTGCGATCGGAGGTTGGAATCATGTCATGTCGTTTTGCATTAGGCCTTGAAAGAGGAAGACTTTGATTGGAGGCTGGAATCATGTCATGTCGTTTTGCATTAGGCCTTGAAAGAGGTAGACTTTGATCGGAGGTTGGAATCATGTCATGTCGTTTTGCATTAGGCCTTGAAAGAGGAAGACTTTGATCGGAGGTTGGAATCATGTCATGTCGTTTTGCATTAGGCCTTGAAAGAGGAGGACTTTGATTGGAGGTTGGAATCATGTCATGTCGTTTTGCATTAGGCCTTGAAAGAGGAAGACTTTGATCGGAGGTTGGAATCATGTCATGTCGTTTTGCATTAGGCCTTGAAAGAGGAAGACTTTGATCGGAGGTTGGAATCATGTCATGTCGTTTTGCATTAGGCCTTGAAAGAGGAAGACTTTGATCGGAGGTTGGAATCATGTCATGTCGTTTTGCATTAGGCCTTGAAAGAGGAAGACTTTGATTGGAGGCTGGAATCATGTCATGTCGTTTTGCATTAGGCCTTGAAAGAGGAAGACTTTGATTGGAGGTTGGAATCATGTCATGTCGTTTTGCATTAGGCCTTGAAAGAGGAAGACTTTGATTGGAGGCTGGAATCATGTCATGTCGTTTTGCATTAGGCCTTGAAAGAGGAAGACTTTGATTGGAGGTTGGAATCATGTCATGCCGTTTTGCATTAGGCCTTGAAAGAGGAAGACTTTGATTGGAGGTTGGCATCATGTATGTCGTTTTGCATTAAGCCTTGAAAGAGGAAGACTTTGATTGGAGGTTGGAATCATGTCATGTCGTTTTGCATTAGGCCTTGAAAGAGGAAGACTTTGATTGGAGGTTGGAATCATGTCATGTCGTTTTGCATTAGGCCTTGAAAGAGGAAGACTTTGATTGGAGGCTGGAATCATGTCATGTCGTTTTGCATTAGGCCTTGAAAGAGGAAGACTTTGATTGGAGGTTGGAATCATGTCATGCCGTTTTGCATTAGGCCTTGAAAGAGGAAGACTTTGATTGGAGGTTGGCATCATGTATGTCGTTTTGCATTAAGCCTTGAAAGAGGAAGACTTTGATTGGAGGTTGGAATCATGTCATGTCGTTTTGCATTAGGCCTTGAAAGAGAAAGACTTTGATTGGAGGTTGGAATCATGTCATGTTGTTTTGCATTAGGCCTTGAAAGAGGAAGACTTTGATTGGAGGTTGGAATCATGTCAGGTCGTTTTGCATTAGGCCTTGAAAGAGGAAGACTTTGATTGGAGGTTGGAATTATGTCATGTCGTTTTGCATTAGGCCTTGAAAGAGGACGACTTTGATTGGAGGTTGGAATCATGTCATGTCGTTTTGCATTAGGCCTTGCAAGAGGAAGACTTTGAAGGTTGGAATCATGTCATGTCGCTTTGCATTAGGCCTTGAAAGGGGAAGACTTTGATTGGAGGTTAGAATCATGTCATGTCGTTTTGCATTATGCCTTGAAAGAAGAAGACTTTGATTGGAGGTTGGAATCATGCCATGTCGTTTTGCATTAGGCCTTGAAAGAGGAAGACTGATTGGAGGTTGGAATCATGTCATGTCGTTTTGCATTAGGCCTTGAAAGAGGAAGACTTTGATTGGAGGTTGGAATCATGTCATGTCGTTTTGCACTAGGCCTTGAAAGAGGAAGACTTTGATTGGAGGTTGGAATCATGTCATGTCGTTTTGCATTAGGCCTTGAAAGAGGAAGACTTTGATTGGAGGTTGGAATCATGTCATGTCGTTTTGCATTAGGCCTTGAAAGAGGAAGACTTTGATTGGAGGTTGGAATCATGTCATATCGTTTTGCATTAGGCCTTGAAAGAGGAAGACTTTGATTGGAGGTTGGAATATTTCCGTTTGATGTTAGGCCTGATACGCAAAAATTTTATTCCAAATTTCTTAGGCCAACTTTAGTAGGGACGGAAGAATCAATCTATACAATATGCATTATTTGTCTGCAGCAAATCCGCATTGGTTGCGCGAAGCTCAGCACCAAGGGCGTTGGAGTCTAAATTTGTAGTGTGCCATACTGGGAGGCAGAATTACTCGTATTAGGTCACATTTTTTCGAGCAATGTCTAAATTGGCAACGTGCTTCTTGACCTTTTGGACAAATCAATTACCGTTGTTGTTGGAAATGTGCCACTAGAAACAGGGCAAAACTTGTTTTTGCAGTTGGATGGTTGCCCAGCACTTTTCGCCATTATTGTGCGAGATCACAATAATGCAGTATTTGAACAGCGGTGGATTGGAAGCGGAAGTCTGTTTATATTTCCTTCGCGATCACCAGACTTAACTTGTCTTAATTTTTATTTCTGGGGACGGTTAAAGGGCATCGTGTTCCAGACTACAACCGGAGAAGATTCGAAAAACTGGATTCGTAATGCAATACGTAACATACCGAAATTGAAGCGGCAGTTTTGTCTACCCATGAGAGGCTTCACGAATGCATATAGCATGATGCTCAAAACGTGTTTTTTTTTATAATAATATATAGAAATTCCAGAAAAATTAGTTTAAAAAAAATTAAAATTTAATTTCCGTATAAAATTTTCTTTGTCCTAAATTTTAGGTTAGGAAAAAGATATCGAGATGCAGTTTTAACTAAGCGAAAATTCAGGGAGAGAAGGAAAACGAAAGGCCAGCATGAGCATACCACAAATGTGTGACTTAACCTCGGAAATTTTTCAGAAACTATACCTATTGCAAATCAAGTGATTTTCGAAATATTTCAGATATGTTGATATACAGGGTGACTTTGAAGTTGAGTCATTAATTTTCAGATAATGATTGTAGAAGGAAGATAAACCAAAATATGTGTGTAAAAATAAAAAAAAAATAAAAAAAAAAAAATTACCTTGTTTTATAAAGTATCCTCCCGACAAGTATTTCAGTGCGGACCTGTATCTGATCGTGAGGTCTTGGAGCACCGGCATGTCGTCCCCTGTGAGGTCTTAAGTCACCTGATTCACGAGCCCATTGTACTACATTAACAAAGGCACGAGGGGTTGGTTGCACTCGATTGGGAAACCGATCCGCATAAACATGTGCCATTTTTTATTTCGTTTGAGCCACGCAACAGACACCACTATTCACTCACGCGTTACCGACTGACACTGACTGTATACAACTGAATAAAATAATTGTAAAAACGTCGTTCCAAATTCTTTCGCTTTTTTGTTTCCGATGCGATGAACCGATAAGGCGTATTATATCCGTTGTTGCCAAGCACGAGCACATAATATTATTATTGAGACAGGGCGGTACTCAAACTTCCAAAGGGCTATAACTTTGTTACTTTAATTTTACCAGAAAAATGGTAAAGGAAAAAACATTTCTTTTGATCAGATCTACTCACTGTTAAAATAAATGACTCAACTTCGAAGTCACTGTTCATATCACTTTGCTAACTGTTAGTTTTCGTAAATGCAATTTACCAACCTGTGGAATAAGCCTTTACTGTAGGATGAAAAATAGTGAAAATGCACTGAAGCAGCTCCAGCAGAAAGCCCCGTCAACGTAACAGACTTTGGATTGCCTCCAAATGCCGCTATGTTTTCCTGGATCCATTTTAGAGCCAGGACTTGATCCTTTAAGCCATTATTGCCTGGTACTACTTCATCGCCAGTGCTAAGGAATCCTGGAAAAGTATAGTTTTTTTTTTATATCGAAACAGCCGCGCAGGCAGAAGCCTAAATGCCGGAACACCGCGGCTGCTGATGATCCCAAAGAAATTTTGTTAATACGATTTTTGAACTGCCTAAGGTTAGTAGAACTGGGAAAAGCTTCCTCCCGTAGTTTGTTCCACAATCTAGATACCCTCGGGATAAAGGAGCGGTCGTATCGGCCAGTTCTGGATGTACGAAGGTTGACACGGTTAGGATGGGACGCCGAAGTCAGGCGGGTCTGTCTGGCAGGCACATCGCGCGGCGGCATCATGGAAGAGGGCTCTGAGGAGCAAAGCCCGTTGGTGTAGCGATAGAAAAGAGCTAGATCGCCGACGGCCCGCCGGTGCGAAAGAGTCCCGAGACTGTCTGTTAGAGAAGAGTCATCGATCAGTCGGACCGCCCTCCTCTGGACAGCATCGAGCATGGACAATGTAGTCGGGGCGGCAGCACCCCAAATGTGTGAGCAATACTCGAGGCTAGGCCTTATCTGGGCCTTGTATAGAGTGAGAAGGTCATGCGGAGAAAAGTACTTCTTAGCCCTAAACAAATAGCCTAGCTTTTTCCCAGCAGCTGCAGCTATTGAAGAGATGTGCTCGTGCCAGATCAGGTCCTCGGTTATCTGGACTCCGACCAACCGAAATGAATGGCTCTTTGGTAGAACTCGACCGTCCATCGAAACTGTATGAGCGCTAAGACGCTTTTTGTTCGTCAAAGTACAGTACTGTGTTTTGGAAGCATTGAACTGTACAAGATTGTTGCGTCCCCAAGCAGTGATAGCCTCCAGGTCTCTTGTCAGAGAAGAAGTCGTCGCTAGTCTTCTTTTTTCCAGCTCAGCGGCAGAGATCGGCTTGTCACTCTGAATTCCTGCATGTAGAGTGCTGTCATCAGCGAAGCTGTGGATTGGGTTGATCGTGCAGGAAAGGAGGTCGTTGATATGTAAGAGAAACAGTGTTGGAGCCAAGACCGATCCCTGGGGAACACCCGCGTTGACGTTGTGGGATAAAGAGATAGATATTCCGCAAGATATCCGTCAATTACGACGGATATCTTGCGGCCAGAGATAAAGTCAGCCACCCATCTGCAAAGCTTTTCTGGGAGGCCGTAGGATGGAAGTTTGCTCAAGAGGGCAGCGTGCCACAGCTGATCGAACGCTTTCGTGATGTCAAGAGCAACGACATGAGCCTCACCATGAGACTGGATGAGTTTACTCCACAGTTGCGTGACGTAAGCTAGGAGGTCCCCTGTGGATCGTTGGTGCCGGAAACCGTACTGCCTGTCGCTAATCAAGCTGTGACGTTCGAGGTAGTCCAGAAGCTCGCGATTTATACACCTCTCCATTACTTTACTTATAACAGAAAGCAAAGCTATAGGCCTGTAGTTGTAAGGGTCGGTTTTAGATCCTTTTTTTGGGATGGGCTGTACATGAGCAAATTTCCAGTTTTCTGGGAAGGTGGCGGATTCATAAGATATCTGGAAGAGACGCGAAAGAACTGGAGCAAGCTCAGCTGCACATCTCTTCAGTACAATGGCAGGAATCAATAGTATTTATCAATAAATATAAAAAGAAGATTAATATGGTTTGTCCAATAGGAACGCAGGAAAGTAAACGTCAATTTGACATAGACGCCATCTTTGTTTTCTGTCACCGACATGTCATTTTGTTAGTTGAATGTTTACCATTGATCGCAAGCAGCGTTCGCACACCGGAAAATATTGCTGTTGTGAAGGAGAGTGTGAGAGATGATCCGAAACAATCAACAACGCGTCGATCCCAAGAATTGGGCATTTCGAGAACCAGTTTGCTCCGCATTCTCCACAAGGATTTGAATGTACACGCCTACAAGATCCAATTGACGCAAGAGCTGCGTCGGGCCGACCATTTTTCGCGCCGAACGTTCTCAGATTGGCTCCTTGAACACCGCCAAATTGATGCGAATTTTTCATCAAAAATCATGTTCAGCGACGAAGCGCATTTCACTTTGAATGGGACGGTAAACAAGCAAAACTGCCGCATCTGGGCGAACGAAAATCCCCGTGAGTATCAAGAGCAGCCGATGCATAGTCAAACAGTGACTGTGTGGTGTGCATTGTGGTCAAAAGGCATCATCGGACCTTACTTTTTCGAAAATGCGGCCGGGGACGCCGTTACCGTCAATTCTGAGCGATATCACGTGATGATAGAGGACTATTTTTTGCCGCAACTTGAAGAAATGGATATGGACGATGTTTATTTCCAACAAGACGGTGCAACATGCCACACAACCAACGTCAATATCCATCGATTGCAGTCCTTCTTCGGTGATCGCGTGATTTCGCGCAGAGGAAATGTGCCATGGCCACCAAGATCGTGCGATTTGACTCCCTTGGACTTCTTTTTATGGGGATATTTGAAAAGAAAAGTCTACGTCAACAAACCAGCCACCCTCCAAGAACTCAAAAGAACATCATTGCCGAGATAAGCCATCGAACCGACCATGTTGCAAAATGTCATTGAAAATTTCGACCATCGCGTGGACGTCTGTAAATCCAGTCGTGGTGAACATTTGAGCGATATTATTTTTCATACGTAAATGGTATAAATGAACCTTCAAAATAAAGTACCCAACTTGATTTGAATATCAATCTTTCTTGTTTTAATATGCGTTTACTTTCCTGCGTCCGTTGGACAACCCCATACAAACTGATAAATTTCTTTTTGCCGTTAATGCAAAGTCTACTCTTACACTAATATTTGTAAAAAAAATTATTTTTTCCTTACCCAGTGCCCCTAATCTATAGTTGAAACTGACAATAACAAGGTCTTTATCCATGACATATTTGTCACCAATTAATTCTTGTGCAAATCCAGCCATAAAAGCACCTGCATGGATATGAGCAACAACGTCTAACAATTTTCCGTTTCCCGTTTTTGGAACGTAGACGTTGATGAACAAGCAGTCTTCGTCTCCTGTAATAAACTTAAAAAATCAGACATTCTTATGTAAACTCAAAACAGTAATTTATTTTGCTAAACACATACCTGTAACTTGAAAGTTTGAGGTAGCCTGTGGACAAACATAGATCCTTGTGGCATTCCAAACACCCGACCAGGATTCCATAGGTTGAGGTTCTTCAAACCTCAGGTCTCCTATCGGTGGTTTAGCGTAAGGTATACCTTCGAAAGCAGCGTATTTTCTGCCGTTGAATGATGTTCGCCATGTTCCTTCAACTTTTCCAAGTTTTGTCTCAACTTGTGGGTGATCATTTACAGTAGTCACAAGACCTGGAAATTTCTCTCGTGTTTATCTGACCAATAAAACCACATTTATTCACAGAATCTTCTTTACCATACACGTGATCTTCATTGATCCTATACAGGATGGTTCACAAGTCGCGACCAAAAATGAAACATCATACACAGAAGGAAGCTTGATCCATTCGTTCTATTCTTTCTATCCACAGTCCGAGATACCGTTGCTTGACTAACACCAAGTTCCTGACCAATACCATGTTGATATCGAGGGTCACCGAGATAGCGTAGACATATCTTCATTTTATGAATACATGAAAGTGCTCCTCCTTAAGTTTCCATTGTACATTTGCTTCGTCGAACCGATATAATTTTTTGAAGTCACAACCAAGTGAAGGTAAACGAGGTTTGTACGTTTTAAGATCCCTAGCATCCACAATTGAGGTTGAGTCTGCTACTGACCACACTCAGAATTTTTTAAGGGGATATGCTTCCTATGCCAAGTATAAAGTGAAGATTATGAATATCCTTTTACTTATGTCACTGCTTTGAAGGATATGCTTATACTCTAAAAGCAAAAGCATTTACTTCAAATCATTATAAATACCGTCTCTGGGATTTCCTTCAAAATCTGCAAGTACCAGGATATCGTTTGTCTTATGAATACGGCTCATTAAAACAAATTGTTTTTATTCTTAAACTTCAACACCCCGTATCTTGAAGTCCTCGAGGAAAAATTGTTACATAGAAGAGCCCCCTAAAATGCGGTCCTGTGTATGAGGCATTGCTGTTTGTGTTGTAAAAAGGACCCCGAAACTTGACGCCTGGAGTACCAGTAGTGCTTTGACAGGGTTGCCATGTTGAGGGGTTTTACTCCAAATTTGGGAAATTCTTTGGGATATAATGTTCTGTATGTTTCGTGGATAGAAACCGTCTTTGGCTCTTTGAACCAAACCTTTCTATTTTTGTGACTCGTACTGGCTTATATAATGCTTGTATGTCTCACAATGTTTATTAAATCAAATAGTATGTATTGTTTAAGTCAATTTATTGATCTATCTTTATTCGAGGTATAGATAGAAGCCAATGCTTTACCTCTATTTTAAATATACTCAGTGACATTTGAAGTATTACACCTAGAAAAAATAATTTCCTCAACTTGTTTTTTGGCAATATAATGACTATATTCAAAGCACGCTCTTGCAACAGTGTCAACGTTTTGTCTTTGTATTTGTTTAGCTTTGTTAAAATGTTATGTTTCATTTCCTTGGGATTGGATTAATTGTGCTGCAATGACGGTAATATGTGTGTGTCGTGTGTGGATAGAAGAAGGTAGATGAACACGAAGAAGGCCAACTGGTCCGCCGAGGCGTACTACTACGCGACAGATCGTTGAGCAATGGTTTAGAGAAGAAGGTAGACCTGTTACTATACGTACACTCTATTGCCTCATTCGAGGCTGGACTTTTTTCATGCCATCCACGGTTAGTGCTTCCTGTGACTGCGGACCACTGTCGTTAATCTTTGAACTGGAGCGGAGAACGGCAATATTGACGCAGAATGACATAATGTCATCTTTAGTGACGAATCACGATTCTGTCACGATGGTCGTAGAAGGGTAAGACGTCGCTCATTACTTGTCAATAAAATTTTGTGAGAATGTCATTGTGTCATTCTTGACTAAGACTAGCTCATTGCTAAAAAATAAAGTAGAATAATTTTTTTTTGTTTAACACTTCTTATGTCACTGAGTATACTTTCAAATTTCCCATACATTTGATTTCAGAAGGAATGCTGTTGAGCGATCTAGGAGCTAAGAAAGAATAATAACTTAGAAATAAAGTTTTTTTTTGTATTGGTACTCTAGCCAAATCTTTCCTGTTTGTCGTTCGGCAAGTATAAGGAACATATACTAAGTGACATATAAATCCGAACATCATATCCCACACGTGCTCAATTGGAGATAAGTCGGGAGATCTTGGTGGCCATGGTAACAATGTGATATCATTATGTTGAAAGAAGTCTATTGTGACTCTTGCAACATGTGGTCGGGCATTATCTTGTTGGAAAGTTGGATCTGCTAGGGTGTCAAGATAGGGTAAAAGATGGGGTTCTAGAAATTCGTGGATATAACGCTGCGCGTTCATGTTACCTCTGATGAAGATTAAAGGTGACCTGAAACCATAAGCTAGAGCACCCCAAACCATAACTCCAACAGTGTGATGAACATGTCTTTCAACAAAAAACTGTGGATTCCTCCTTTCACCACGTCGCCTTTTAACCCTGGCACGACCATCGTGCATGCCTAAACAAAATCGAGACTCGTCACTAAAGACAATACTGTTCCATTCCTGATCCCAGAGTGACCGTTGTCTGCACCACTCAAGGCGATTACGTCGGTGTAAGGGTTAGAAGGCGACGTGGTGAAAGGAGGAATCCACAGTTTTTTATTGAAAGACATGTTCATCACACTGTTGGAGTTATGGTTTGGGGTGCTATAGCTTATGCTTCCAGGTCACCTTTAATCTTCATCAGAGGTAACATGAACGCGCAGCGTTATATCCACGAAGTTCTAGACCCCCTTTTTTACCCTATCTTGACACCCTGGCAGATCCAACTTTCCAACAAGAGAATGCCCGACCACATGTTGCAAGAGTCACAATAGACTTCTTTCAACATAATGATGTCACATTGTTACCATGGCCACCAAGATCTCCCAATTGAGCACGTGTGGGATATGATGGGTAGGAGATTGCTCAATTTGCAACGTCCTCCTCAGGCTCTAAAAGCACTTCGAGAGGAGTTGGTGGTTGCTTGGAATGAGATACCACAGGAGGACATTGACCACCTGATCAGAAGCATGCCTAGGCGCGTTGGAGAATGCGTAGCACATCAGGGTGCATCCACACATTATTAAAGGTCAAAGGGCTTTAAAGCAGTGCAATCATTTTGAAATTTTTATCATTTACTTATTATGCTTCATTAAGTACTTATAGAAAATTTTATTAAAATAAAACCATTTAAACTGGGTGTTCGGATTTATATGTCACTTAGTATAGTTCAATGATATTCTATTTTTATATTGATCTATTGCAATTAGGCTTAAGACTTTGCTCAACAAGACCTTGAAGAGTATTTTGAGATCGGTTTACTTTATCTATTTCAGGCTAACATTAGCGAGCTTGTGGTTTTTGTAGACTGTGTTTTGAATAGGTATCTACTCAATCGTAAGAAGAACCGTATAAAGAGCTGTAAGAAAATTTTGGGAATACTTACATTTTATTCCAACGAAACACAAATATAAAACACACGCTCTCAACATGTTAACCGGCTTTTAGTGAACAATACGGTAACGCAAACAAGCCTTTAGCTCAGATTAACTGACGCTGAACTTATGGCTATGGTAAATTATAAAAGATTGTTTTTCTAATGATATCTAAAGTATGTAAAGTCTAGATACAGAGTTGTATCAGCACAGTGGCGTCACTATAGGGTAATTTATACTAGTCCTATACGCATGGACGCCCGCAGGAATTTTTCTTAGATGGGGTGCGGCGATCATCGGCAAGAGATAACTTTTATGAAAGCGTACCTCCCCCCAAATCTTTTTGACGAGCAGGGGGTACCGACTTTTCCCCAAAATTCGGTTCGGCCTGCTCCATCTGCATCTAATGCTAGACGCACGTTCTTTTGCACCGCGACGATTTAACGCCCTTGCGTACCGGCAGTCAAGTGACATAAGGAGTGAATTTGAGGTTGAGGTTTCGTCATTTGAAATACTTCGTAGACTAACAGCGATTGTGTACGGTAGTGGTAGTCGAAAAGCAGTCGACTTCGTCACGATAGCGAACTTCAGCATGTTAGCGGTATATTTAATGACTCGTTTTTACTTTGTTTAGAGACGCCACTGGATCCCTATCGTATTAAATTATTTAACAAATGGCAACGTTTCAGTTCAGATTTTGTACATCAAATTTTCAATTCTTTGGTTTATAAAAGTTGTGGGTCTTGAAATTACTCGACCGAGTAATCGAAGCGAAACCGGGTACAAATAGAGTACTCGGTGCATCCCTAATAGGTAGGTGAAGCTGTTACCACTGATCCACTGGATATAGCAAATCATTTCAGTGGCTTTCTCTGGAAGCAAGCGTTACATACTGTTGGTAAACCCCTGGTGCATCCCTAATAGGTACACTGAGAAATAAATTAATCAAACCAACAAAAATTTTAATTCGGTCAAGAAACAACAATACTCGTTAAAGGTAGGTGAAGCTGTTACCACTGATCCACTGGATATAGCAAATCATTTCAGTGGATTTCTCTGGAAGCAGGCGTTACATACTGTTAGTAAACACCTGGTGCATTTGATTAATTTGTCTATCAATATGTTTCTCAACTACATAAAGATGATCAAACGTTACATCAAGTACAATCCAGTGAAGTCACTAATGATATTGGGCTTCCTCAAAGTTCCATTTTAAGGCCAGTTTTGTTCATTCTCTATATCGTAGAGATTGGGTTAGTGTGTGAGGATACGCTGTTCACACTTTCTAAACTTAAAGTAGGAAATAAATCTCCAAATATACTTGGTCCCAAAATCTTTAACATCTTTCCAAAAGATATGCAAGGAATAGCAAATCAATCACTTCAAGTTTTGTTTGAAAAGTTTTTTTAATACGAGTACATAAATGTTTGTATAATGTCTGTGAGTTTATCAGTATGTAAATGTTGTTTATTATCTTATCTTATTTATCGTTTTATGTCTCTGCATTATAGCTACTCTATTGACGATTTCTATACAAACTTTGTTTGATTATTATTATGATTATTATTATTAAATGCGCTTAATGCGGGTGCATTGCAATATTGTTCTATTACCAGACATGAAAGCACAATTTTTTAATATAACCTGTTTTTGGACAAATAGACAAATAGTTGGTGAAACTTGATCCCATATAAAATAAATTCACAATCATTTTAAAAAAATATCGAATTTTGTTAGGTTATTTAGAGTCGAAATCATCAACTGTCATTATCAAGTTTTTAAGTTTTTTGATATCCAACATTTGTGAGATCACAGTTATAATATACATCATGCAGTAAAATGCAATTTGAATTCAAAATATTTTTTAAAAGGTGAATCAAATGGTTCATTAAAACTAAGCAAACACTTCTACTTAAACTGATTAAACAAATTGCATGAATATAATTTAATTATTTTGCATGAAGTAGGTAAACTCATTTCGTTAATTTCAAATATACTAAGTGACATATAGATCCGAACACCCAGTTTAAGTGGTTTTATTTTAATAAAATTTTGTATAAGTACTTAATGAAGCATAATAAGTAAATGATAAAAATTTCAAAATGATTGCACTGCTTTAAAGCCCTTTGACCTTTAATAATGTGTGGATGCACCCTGATGTGCTACGCATTCTCCAACGCGCCTAGGCATGCTTCTGATCAGGTGGTCAATATCCTCCTGTGGTTTCTCATTTCCAGGCAACCACCAACTCCTCTCGAAGTGCTTCTAGAGTCTGAGGAGGACGTTGCAAATTGAGCAAACTCCAACCGATCATATCCCACACGTGCTCAATTGGGGATAAGTCGAGAGATCTTGGTGGCCATGGTAACAATGTGACATCATTATGTTGAAAGAAGTCTATTGTGACTCTTGCAACATGTGGTCGGGCATTATCTTGTTGGAAAGTTGGATCTGTCAGGGTGTCAAGATAGGGTAAAAGATGGGGTTCTAGAACTTCGTGGATATAACGCTGCGCGTTCATGTTACCTCTGATAAAGATTAAAGGTGACCTGGAACCATAAGCTATAGCACCCCAAACCATAACTCCAACAGTGTGATGAACATGTCTTTCAACAAAAAACTGTGGATTCCTCCTTTCACCATGTCGCCTTCTAACCCTGGCACGACCATCGTGCATGCCTAAACAAAATCGAGACTCGTCACTAAAGACAATACTGTTCCATTCCTGATCCCAGAGTGACCGTTGTCTGCACCACTCAAGGCGATTACGTCGGTGTTCTCGGGTTAAAGGGAGGACCCAGTGTGGCCGGTATGAAGCCAAAACTTCTCATCCGTCGGTAAACACTTCGCATGCCAATAGGTCTTCCGTGTTCTGCAAACCATTCATTTGCAATGGACCTGGTAGTGGAGAAATGGTCCCTTAAGGCCAATAATCTTAGGCGGCGATCTTCACGGTCTGTTCTACGGCAGCGTCCAGTGCCGCTTGCTCTTTGCGTAGGGCCTTCTCGAAGCCATGCCCGACAACACCTAACCACAGTGTCTACACTTCTTTGCACTCTAACTGCAATTGCCCGAAAAGAAAGTCCAGCTTCCCGAAGTCCCACTATACGGCCCCTATCAAACTCACTAAGTTGACGAAATCGTACAGGTCTCCGTACTCTAGGCATCGTAACCGATCGTAAAAGATGTCAAGAACCAACGTTGATTCTTTACTGCGGCTGAAATATTCATTTTTAGAGCGTTAGTGAATTAAAAAAAAGCAGTATAAAAACCGGAATGTCCAACTGATAAGGCTGAAAATTTTTTCACTTGTTATTTACAGTAAGATAAATACATTCACCAACTTTTATTAAAATAAAACCATTTAAACTGGGTGTTCGGACTTAGTATCAATTAGTGTATTCAATCTAAGTAAACGGCTTAATAAATTTAATTACGACTTGGAATATTCACATTGTGGAGATCAACAGAAAAAGTTATTGCAAAATTGTGAAGACGTGGTTGTGTTTCATAGCCCGCGAAAATCCATCGGTACCATCCCAGATTCTCCGCCGCTGTTCGCATAGAAAGCAGCAAGACGTAGTGGTGGTACCAGCACCGCTCTCCATGGTTCTCAAGAACCCAAAACACGTACCCAACGCACCAGCGGTAGTGCACAACCACTTGACGATCGTACCAGAAGCGAGACCGAGTCGAAGAGACCGCGCGCGCGAGTACCCGATGCAAGTCGCACCGTGATTTCTCCACAAATGAGACAAAACTGTGCCCTGGTCGCGATCATCTGCAACAATTCCAAGGTCAAAGCTTACGCGAAGCTGTTCAAATTGGGCCTGTACGCCGTTTTGCCGTTTTCAGTTTTCCGCGTGAACGCGTTTCTGAGGAACCTCGCTTTGGATTTCTGAGCGGTACCATTGGCCGAGATTAAGAGGATACTGTTGTTGTACCTTAAATTTCTCGTACTTACTGTAGTGGTTAGTTTTGTGACTTACTTGTATATGGTTCTCGTAGCCGAAGAACAATCTTGAAGTGACACAGTGCCTGATTTCTTTCTTCGGGAAGGAATGTTTTGAGTGGCTTTGATTCTCACTCACCACAATTGCGGAGTTATTGAAACTTAGGTAAGTTTATGATATCAATTCAATCGCCATTATTGTAAGAAATACTTTGTCTATTCATAGTTAACCATGTCGTAAGCGTATTGCTACCTTAACTTGAAACTTAGCCTGAAGGAAAATAATCAGAAATAGAAAAGCATGTACTTATTCCAAAAGTATACTAAGTGACGTATAAATCCGAACACCCAGTTTAAATGGTTTTATTTTAATAAAATTTGGTGAATGTATTTATCTTACTGTAAATAACAAGTGAAAAAATTTTCAGCCTTATCAGTTGGACATTCCGGTTTTTATACTGCTTTTTTTTTAATTCACTAACGCTCTAAAAATGAATATTTCAGCCGCAATAAAGAATCAACGTTGGCGGATTTTGGTTCTTGACATCCCTTACGATCGGTTATGATGCCTAGAGTACGGAGACCTGTACGATTTCGTCAACTTAGTGAGTTTGATAGGGGCCGTATAGTGGAACTTCGGGAAGCTGGTCTTTCTTTTCGGGCAATTGCAGTTAGAGTGCAAAGAAGTGTAGACACTGTGGTTAGGTGTTGTCAGGCATGGCTTCGAGAAGGCCGTACGCAAAGAGCAAGGAGCACTGGACGCCGCCGTAGAACAACAGACCGTGAAGATCGCCGCCTAAGATTATTGGCCTTAAGGGACCGTTTCTCCACTACCAGGTCCATTGCAAATGAATGGTTTGCAGAACACGGAAGACCTATTGGCATGCGAAGTGTTTACCGACGAATGAGAAGTTTTGGCTTGTTTTCATACCGGCCACACTGGGTCCTCCCTTTAACTCGAGAACACCGACGTAATCGCCTTGAGTGGTGCAGACAACGGTCACTCTGGGATCAGGAATGGAACAGTATTGTCTTTAGTGACGAGTCTCGATTTTGTTTAGGCATGCACGATGGTCGTGCCAGGGTTAGAAGGCGACGTGGTGAAAGGAGGAATCCACAGTTTTTTGTTGAAAGACATGTTCATCACACTGTTGGAGTGATGGTTTGGGGTGCTATAGCTTATGGTTCCAGGTCACCTTT